GAAGAAAATGAGTTATGGGACTTTTCGCAGAAGATGCATGCACGATTATCAACAGCATTGAAACTGGCAGCCGTAGGTACATTTCTGTGAATTTTTTTTTTTTTATAATCAGACTTAGCATGTTCGAAACGTGGAGGCAAGGTATTTCTTTTATCTTCGCGTCAATAAACTCGACGCTTCACGGACATTCAATTTCCCGCTTTATGAAGTCCAACAAGGTCTGAAAAACATTAATTTCTTCATTTGGTTTTTTCCTTCGATTAAATTCCAGAACGAACTCTTCTGGAATAGTTTTTAAACAACACAGGTATTATTAATAACTGACCAAATGAACCTTTCGTAACTCCTTGCGCTTCCAAATTCCGAACTGCAATTTCGATTTCATCATATAACCTACGTAAAGCTTTAATATTATTTGAATTCCTTACTGGTTCTAAATTTAACAGTTTGTTCATGAATTGACTAATTATTATTTCTTTTTTCCCGAATCTATCCTTCAAAGTTTTTATACTCTCATCGTAATTTTTTGCATTTAATTCTAATGAAGATACTACATTACTCGTGGCACCTGTAAGTAATGTTTTCAAGTATGCGAATTTTTCTATCTTACTAAGACTTTCGTTTTTGTCTGTAGTGCTTTCGTAACTGTTCCAAAACTCCGTAAATTTTTTCAGGATCACCTGAATATTTCTCTAAAACTAGTTTTGGAAGTTTTACCAGTACTTTGTACATTTTGCAGTCTAACCAAGTTTTGTTCAGGATCTTTAATACTTATTTTATCCTCTTCCAACATTCGATTAATTCGTTTAATAGCTCGAGAAACTTTTTCCTGATATTTCTCAGAACTAACTACATCCGCTTCTAGAGAATCTATCTCAATTACGGAATGAATTGCCTCGTCTAATTCTTTCAAATTACTTTTCTTTTCTATTAATAATTCATGCACTTCGCATAATTCATCTGTATCTTCTTTGCTAAGCTATCCTCGACTTTCTTTAATAGTTTAGATACTACCGTTCTCAATGCGGTTCTCTTTCGTTTTAATCTATCTAGTTCTGCCATTATTTCGCGTTAATACACAAATGTACCCAAGACTGCAAATTATCAAAATTCAAATCAAACACGTTCAAAATTTAATAATAATCATGCTCTTACCTAGGGCATGGTCTGGACACATACTTCCTCGTGAAGTTCACTTTAACAAATCCAAACATTTCCGTAAGATGCACCATTGTGATGAACCTGCATTTATCCATGGCGGCCCGTAGAGCAATCACAAAACATCCGGTGGTTCAGTTTTCTAATGCTATTTATTATTCGTTATATTTACATATTTACAACTGTCCTATTGTTATGTGGACTACCTTCACAGAAATCATGTTGCCTAATCAAACGACATTTCGTTTCTACTTGCATGCGTTGCGCTACTGCCAAGCAGCGCCCTCTACTTCTTTCTTTACAACACCGAGTAATGTAAAATTCAGCGTTTCTGTTTTCAAATGGGTTGCTTAGAGTATAGAATTCTGTGGAGTAATATAAGCGCAATATTACAGGTCGGCATTGAATTCATTATACCTGGGATTTTACAGTGGTCAAATCTCCTGTACTTTTACTGTTTTCTAAAAGATAAAACTTATTAAAAGAACCAGGTTTGAAACTATTTCCGAACTACTTTAGGTGAACATTGATTTGTACCAATTTAAGGCATAGATCAAGTCCAGAATAAATATTTAGATAACTATAATTTGCTGTTTCAAATTAATTTGAAATCTGTTACCATCAAAAAAAGATGGAGTAGGTACCTGTTTGGCCCGAAGATAATGGAAATTTTATCTTATCTTTTGTATTCCCTTTTGATACTTTTGCATTTCTTTTAACAGAAGGCGTGACTTTGCATTGAGACTTTTGCGTTTCTTTCAAGGGACCCTTTCCTTTTTAACATGCACAGACTATGATATTCTATGGAATTTCTTTTAATGGCCGGGAGCTTTATTTAATAGCCACTAGCCTTGCGCCACTACAAAGGCCGGAAGTGGTGGACATTTCTTTATGGAAGCACCTAATATAGGTGGCCACTTACGCTTCCTATGACGGGACAGACAGTTACAACCATGCCTTCTCTGGGATTCGAAACCGAGCCCATCGCTATGGCAGTCGGGGGTTACTAACCACTGGGCGGCAATTCTATGGGATTTTGTATACCCTTTAAGACTTTTGATATATTTTTATTACCTTTACTAGAAGGCGTGACTTTGCATTGAGACTTTTGCATAACTTTCAAGAGATTTTTCCCTTTTTAACTTTAGAGACTTTTGCACTCCCTTTAAGACTTCTTGATCTCACACACACGTTCTCTATATTTCTCTTTAGCAAGGCATGTCCTTTTCGTGAAGACATGTCATACTCAAAAAAAAAAAAAAAAAAAATATAGAGAACGAGCGTTCTTCTGTTCTGCATTCTGCAATTTTAATTCTGTATAATTTATTTTAATTATTCATAGTTCCATATTCCTTATTAAATATATTCAAATAAGAAATTACATTACAGAAGAGAAATGAAATTAGCTTTTACCTTTTATATTCTAATGTAGTTGCTATAACAAAGAATCGTAGCTGAGTTCGAGTAGATCTTGCTCTTTCTTGAAGTAAATCACATATACCTATCATGTATAGCGGTTTTGACTTTAAGCCTGTAGGATTTCCCTTATTTTGACAAATTTGTTTTATGTTTTATACCTGTAATGAACTTCTCAACTTCCCCTCACATTTTTTCGCCAGGATGTAAAGTGCGTGTTTAAACGGGTGAATCTCTGAATTTATTCAGAGTGCGTTTTCGCTAGCCAGCGCACGTTTTCGTTGCTGTTTCGCTGTTACGCTAGTCAGCCTCTTGGCCATTCGAATTATCATCACGCCTGTTAGGTTTTTGTAAGTCACCCTGCTAGGCTTAACTTATGTGCTATCCAGAACTATTTTATTTTAGATTTTTGACTTAAATTATATTCTACGTTTTTAGTTTCACAACAAGTTTAACGGTGCCATTAATCAGATATTTTTAGTTTCACCGCAAGTTTGACGGTGCACGAAGATCGTGCCTTTCTGTTAACTATTTGAATTTAAATAAAGGGTTAATTTCACCCTTCTTCTGTGCTGTTATTTATTCACGCCTGTGCGAGAACTCGCCAGGTTCACTGTAGGATCGAATTTAGTTTATGTGGAAAAACAGAGACAGACCCTACAATCCTTATGTAATTGAATCTTGGTTATGGGAAATCTGTGCTTAGAGAAGAATTCCTTACAAGGCTGAACTGGAGTAGTATAAGCATAGGCTCCAGTATGCTTTTGAGAATCCACATACCACTTTTTTTATCTTTAAGGAGGAAAACATCATTAATGATTTTTGAGGCCTCAGATGACACGGAGTTCTGGGACCAGGCTTTATGGGCATTGGAAGTCTAAGCCCTGATTCCACAGTCTATGAGTATAAAAAAAACTAATCTTTAGTCATCGTGCCGCTCTTAAATGGCCTTGCGATGCATCGAGATGGCCGATGGCACTTCATCACAGTTCATTTGGCAAATAATTACACTAAGATCTTTTTTTACATCTTTTTTCTAGTTTTCAAAGAGATCACATAATCTTGACACGCTGATTTCATTCAAATTCTGCATAATTATAAAAGACTTTAAGGTAAATATTTCTGAAACCCATAATGCGTCTTATTTGCCAATACGCTGTAGAATCGGGTATAAATTGTTAATTAATATTCGTATTATTCAAGTACATCTATTTTCTGCAAGCTTCAATAGTTTCTCAACAGCAAGGTTCCACAAGAGAAGTCGAAAATTGTAAATCAGCTGGTTGCAGCATTGTTTCTTTTTGATTTCATTGATTAATTCTTTTATTATTATTTTGATTTGAAACACAATTTATTCACTAAATATTTAAATGAAATAACACAAATATTTCACAAGAAATGCAGTCTTCTTAATAACTGATTATATTTCGGGTAAATTTCATTATTTATGATAATTTTAAAGGTGAATTAATCTACTTCTTCCTTTTTTCTGTCTTCCTTGGTTATGGATTTATGTCTATGGCTACTGTCGTCTATAAGTTTTAAATGACAAAAATTGCCATTCTAACTAACAAAATTTTGCCGCTTAAACATAAAATTTTTCTACTGACAAATAATCAAACAAGCCTGTTTTTTTGTGAACTAATAGTAAGTGCATTTTAGTATTGTATTTAGTATTGTAGTTAGTATCTACTAACTTATTTCACTTTAACGAACCTATCGAAGGCAACCAATTTCTAAATAATTTTTAATCTCATTCTCAGTAACTGCAGTTTAAGCCTTCACCAGTTCAGTTCGGTGGACAACAGATCAAGGAAACAACTAAATATCTTGTTATAATGTTATAAAACTTTAAATCTTATCAAACATATTCGCAACCCTTCGAGAGTTATTTTAATTGTTCTTCATTTAGGTACTTCTACAATAGTAAAAATTACCATACAGAAGTATTACCTGGATGTCCTCCATTTTTAAAACATCATCAAAATAAAAAAGATCTAAAATTAACAACTTTTGAGTGTAAACTTTTCCAAGCACTAGTTTCCGATGAGATAATCCCAGCCTGTCTTTTTACCCAGTACTCTTTACTATCAGGACGAAATTTATTGCTTGTGGGATTTAAGTTTTAGTTTACGATGTCGGGGCTTAGTTCAACAGTTTTAAAATTTAGAGGAAATTTTATAGAACATGACTTGTAAAAGGAAAAATAATTATATGATTATTAGTTATTAGTAACTTAAAAGCTACTTCTCATTAAAATGAAATTTTAGAAATGCAAATCTGATCATCTGGATTTTCATCTTTTGCTTTCGTAATGTCTATACTTGATCATCAGTATCTGGTTCTTAATCAGATATTCTTATAAATGTTCTAAAAAAGTAATTTATATATGTAAAAAAAGCAATGTTCTTTTCTACTGTTTACAGATAAATTGCTTACAAAGTACTCAGGAAACATCATGAAGTCTCAACTGTTTTTCTGTTTTTTTATTGGTAAGCTAATTTTATGCCTTAAGGTTTAGATAAAAGATAAAAATGTCAAATTTTATTCAAACATATATAAATTCCATTGGCTAAATACTTTATAAGATATAGAGATTAATATAAGTATGTCATGTACGCAACATATCTGCCAGAATAGCGTGATCTAATTAAAGTATCTGAACTTTATTCTTTTGTTTACCGATTTACTTTCCCTCCCGATTTTTGTACTTCTATGTACATAACTTCCAACATTTTGTGCATATTTCGTGCTGTTTGAAATCGGATGACCCAGTATCAAAGCTAATATGCCCCCGTAATCTTTGTCTTATGCCAATGACCGAGTTTTTAGTGTATAGTTTTGAAATGATTATGAAATAATTAAGAAATTAACTTGTAAATCATATACAGATGGCCCTCGACTTACGACGAGTGCCGCTCCAGCGGGGCAGTCGTAAGTCGTTTTGACGTAAGTCGGAAAATTATTTTATGTTTGACACCTTTGATACTATTATTATAAACCAGGCCCTTATTTAATTATAAATTTCTTAAATTTAGAGCGAAGGTTCTTTTACTCCTGTTTGCTATATTTCAATACGTACTTCACTTTTTTCTCTGCATTACTGTTTAATATGCATTATTAAAGTCGCATATAATTTCCATTTCCATATGTTTTTACATTTATCTGTAAAATATACGTTGAATTTACTAGACACTACTTTTATGTGTGATTAGGGCTGTGTTTACAATTATAATAATAATTTCAGTTTCGCATTATCCTGCTTATGAATATCTAAATAATTTATTTTGTAAAACAAGTATGCATTTTAGCATATATTTTAATTCCAGCATTTTGAAATTTTAGATTTACATACTTCTAATGAAGCGCTTTCACCACAAACCAAATATTTGTATTTAACTTTAAAACTTTTTCTTATGCTTCTTGCAGTTTGCGTGTCATATACTTCATCTTTCTTAAACGTAAGGGAGTTCAAACAAACTGATCTACTGAAATGCTATGATGGACTAAGAAATAATCCCAAGACAAATGAATTAATTAATGGTCAAGAATATCCTCTGCCAAATTCGTTAGAGACATTTGTTTCACTCGTCGAAAAGCTTGAGACTTCCCATAGGAATATGGAGCCGTTTGAAATGAGCAAAAATCTTCTTCTAAGTTTCAGCGTTGAAGGAATGAATCCAGACCTAAACGTCGCTCGAGAACCCTTCAATGCATTAAATGAGTTGAGAAGATCCTTTTTCGAAATTTCAGACGTCACTGAGAAATCGAATTTCAGAGATGGAGCCCTTACTCATGATGAAAAATGTGCACTTCATTTCATGCTATCGCATACAATAAATGATACTCTAGATGGTAATGAAGACTCAGTTCTAATTGACGGCAGAGAGTAAGTTTATTATTTTTCTTCCCTTAATTTCGTTATTTATACTGAGAAGTTTTCAGTGTCTGAGTTTAAATACATCTGCAATCACAATCACCTAAATGGTTATGATATTGCTTAATCGCAGCATTTGGAGAAGAAAATATTCAAATGAAATTTTCTGGCTATTTTCCCCCACAGAGAATAGAATAGAATAAAATAAAATATAGTTTTATAGCGTTAAACAACGACAGCTAACAAATTCCGTCTTATTAATTTTTTTCTACTGAAGGCAGCGTTATTTTAACCAAAGTTTCATTATTATTTGGACTACGTTGAACTAATTATTTATAGTTAATCCATTTCAAATTGCTATAAAAAACTATTAGGCCATAAAGACCCATTAATGCTTCTGCTTGCGTTTTTCTTCTACGACCATGTGCGAATTTCCTAGAATCCGTTTCACAGTCTTGCAGTTGTTTCTAGAATGCAGAGACAGTCTGTGTAGAAACTGTCAGCCATTTTGCCTCTTCCACAGATGTTTCCCTAGTCCTCAATCCTGACTGCTGCCTAATTCACAGATTTTTCTGCGTAATACTTTGGTCACACAAAATACAATTTTGTCTCTTTAAACACTCAAACCAAATCTTAAATTGCAAAACATTTGTACAAACGTATTTTAGGTAAAGTGACCAACACGCATTTAAATGGCATCCTGTCAATACTTTTAGTTCAAAAACAGGTTGATTGAATTAATTGGATGATGATAATTAGGTTTGCTTTATCTCATTTCATGAAAATCATTCAGAATGAAGACATACTATTATTTTAAAGAACATATACAATTTTATGCAATATGATATTATTAGATAATGATGCCATATCGCTTAAATCGCACGAATGTAGTTTTACGTACATTTGTAAACGCCTCTGCTTTTCCTTTCTTCCAGTGTTGCAAAGCGTCCGAGAGAGTATGGCGTTGTTAGTTTGCATGCTAAGAAGGTTCATGCCATTGCATTAGCAAGAGTTCTGTTAGGAGTAATGGCAGGATTAAGAGGAAATAATGAGATGGAAGCTTCTGTTATATTGAAAAAGATAAAACCTGTTGGTAAAGATGGGCTGAAAGGGGTGAAGGTCAAACTTTTACCGGCTGTTACACTTGGTGGTAAGTGAAAATTATCTTATAAAAAAATTAAACTAGTCGTCCTCTTCTTCGTAGATATTAGGTTTATTTTTACAATAATAAACGTTTTATGTTCATTCCGAAAGCTTGTAGTTTTAATTTCATAAAAGATTTTTCCTTTTAACTGAAGATATATTCAAATCCTTATAATAGAGATCTAAATAACTGCAATCAAAAGTACGCCACTTTTTTAAATTCTTCTGGAATTGAAATTACTTATATAATCAGTCATTTAATAAAAAAAACAAAGGAATTCAAGACATTTTTTTAAGGCTCGAGAATAAATCTTCTTCTAGAGAAAGTTTAGAAAAAAAAGACGTTACAAGACTTAAAAACGTTTAGTTCTTTAATACCAATTATAAATTTTTAACATTCTATATATAATCATTCAGAGTTGTCTTATAACAGTCTTACACAGAAAAGGAAGTGTATACCCTTTTACTGACGTCGTTGTTCTTGAAAGTTATACTTCAGCTCCAAGCACGGTAACAACGAAGGAAGAGTAAAAATTATTTTCCGTGCAAATAAAAAATAAAAAATGATTTCATGAAATGTGTTGGATAATATAGATCTTTATTAGCATTCAACTTATTCTTAATGCAAATATGAATTTCGTGAGAAATTTAAAAATTTAGATTCCATGAAGACAGTTTCTTGAAGCTGCACAATCCTTCGTTTGACCCTGCATTAAGTACTTAACGTCATAATACTATCACATATTATGAAAAGAACTAAGTGAGAATTAGGAAGAACATCAAGCAAAAAGTATAAAATAGATTTTTAAATCAGTAAGCCGAAATTTATTGTTGTGGGATCACAATTTGCCTGAAAACTTAATAACCTAATAATAATAATAATAACAATTTTTACTAAATGTAAGCGAAAAAGCAGCATTGCATAACGATTTCTGCAGTTACATTTAGGAGTTCTGAAGAGGAGTAGAGAGTCGGTATAGATGCTTACCATAGAGGCCATATATTGCAAATAACTTCCTTCCTTCACTTTTTGTTATATCATAGAACTAGCATAATACAATCCTAAAGAACTAACATGAAACAGAAAATATATTTTTTCATAAATTAAGAAATTAATTATATTTTCATAATTATAGATTATGATATAATTCATAGATTTTAGTTTCACTTTTTACAATATTTATGTGCGCTAGTATTAAAACAAATTTAACTAAAATTTTTTCAAACTCAGTTTTCATTAAATTAAATAATATAATTTAATTAATAAAATAAGATAATAAAGTATTAAAAACTTGCTAAAATATTGTTTAAAACTTTAGCGAAATCAGAGCATTATTTTTCTACTGTGATATATCAAGAACAGTTTTATCATTTATTTATATTATGCACTAATTTTAATTAGTTTAACACAAAGTTAGTTTCACGTAATTTAAAATTACAAAGTTAAATTCAGTGAAATTTTCATATTCATACTGTTATATTTCCTAATGTTATGTTCACATAATCATAATTAAGGCTTGCTGTAAGATATTTGTTTATATTTATTAACATTATAATGTTAAAAAATTTAAATAGGATATCTAAATAACCTGACCTTCGATATACCCAGTATTATCTTATATCCAACAAAAACTGTATATGGATATTTTCAATACAAAAGTGACGAGACAAACGGACATAGGCGGAATTCTAACATTAAAGTACGTAGAAGCAATGCGAACAGAAAGGAAAACGGAAATTGTTTTCATGTATAAAAATAAAAAATACCTCTGGAAACTTAAAACATTAGTTTTTGATGCACCATTTCTTTCTGAACATCCAAAAGCAGAACCACAAACCATTTACTCACTCAAAATAAAAAATGAATAAGTAAATAATAAAAGGAAGCAAGGAAGGAAAGTAAAAAAATCTGAATTACTGTAGAATGGATCATTGGTGTCCATAGCATCCCACTAGTGGAAGAGGATATATATCAACCCACTAGTATCCTACTTGTGGAAGAGGGCTGGTAAAAGAAAGACACTGAAGGGAGATATCCAAGTCATATGTACACTTTTCTACCTACAATTGAAGAGACGATGACCACTCCATCTACTTCTAACTGTCATAATCATATAGCAGATTTTACTAGAAGATGCTAGAGCTGAAACCCTATTTAGACCTTCGTAGAGCCCATTCAGATAGACCTATTTATTTGAAACTTCATATATATGTTATATGAACCGTGGGGAATAGAAATTTTCAATAAAAATCAATAGTTCAAATTTTAAATGACAGCTAGCGCTTTTTATGCAATATAGAAAATATATTATACAATACAGAAAGGACATCATTCGGGAGCGTTTCAAAAAGCCTTAAATACATTCTTCTTTAGAGAAGATATATCGAGCTTTACTGATCAAGTTGTTTTATCAAAATAGCGGTAATTTTTCAACTGCACTGCAATAATATAGACGTTTGAAAGGCTTATGAAAAGGGAATACGTCATGGCATGGTTTGAAAAAGATAATTACTAAATTTGAAGAGACTGAGAAATTGTGTATGCTACGAGGAAGAGGGCGGAAACGGATTTCGAATGAAACTGAGGAAGAAGTCGATCTTAAAGTGGGCGAAAGACAGTCCTATTTCCAATATTTTTCAACAAGTGCTGGAAGTTGCATCATAATTTATCTCTCCCTCAATGGATAGTACGAAAGATTCTGCTAGCCTTCTTTTGGTCAGAATAGCGGTTGACAACTCATGGCCTTGGAAGATTTAGTTGGTTAGACAAGTCACATTTTGCCTTAGACTGAGCAATTAATACTCTAAACTGTCGCATATGGGGTACTTCAAATCTTAATGTTGTACATGACTGGTCTATGCCTCCCGATTAAATTACTGTATTTTGTGGTTATACTGCTGATTTCATCCTTGATCCTTTTATCTTTGAGAACACTTCTTAAAGCTCTCAAAGATGTTCTATCTCACATATGCTCAAAATGCAATTTTCTTCAGAAGCAAGGCATTCTTGCCTTACAAGAACGAAAATGTTTAAAGACAATCTTCTTCATGCAAGATGGTGGTGCACCTCCCATTTCCGGGCCAGTGATAGCATGGTTTCGCGCCCACTTTGGAGATGATGGGATAATTTCGAGAAATTTTCCGACTGCCTGGTCTTCTCGTTATCCGAACTTGAATGCCTGTACTTGGTTTCGGAGATTATTAGATCGTGTCTATGGAAGAAGCATACGGGAATATGCCTGAATTGAAAGCAAGCATAACGCGTCATATCGCTGCAATTGATCGAGAAACCCTTCACCCTACTTTTGAACATGCTATAACACTCTTTGAATGTGTGATTGACACAACTTGAGTGCACATTGAACAAATGCTGCTATCAAATAAAATTTTGTGCTTCTTACTTGTTTTTTTTTTTTTTTTTTTTTTTCTTCGTGCGCCAACTTCTCACCTGATGGTCGAAATTTGAACCATTGTCTTTTATTGCATATTGCAGTTTTCTTTAGCCTGAGGGGTCCATATAATGCATATATGAAGTTTCAACGAAATAGGTCTATCAGAACGGACTCTACGCAGATCTAAATAAGGTAATTTTAATTATAACCACTCTGTACATATATCTTCTATATTAAGAGCTGGAAATGAAAATCACTACTTCCATTCCAAATATATGCTAAAATATACTTCATAATTTGCTGGGAACATGTAGTAGGTGAAAAGTGTACAGTATAGACCATACACTAGATGGGAAAGAGGACATTTCCAGCATATGTATTATATAATGTATGTCTCATAAATATAACAGTCACGGTTCCTCTGAGGAGTCTATTTTTTAAGTGAATACTCTGTATTTTGTCTTAAAAACCTGATCTCGACGTGATTAAGTCATAATTTTGTCATCAAATTTTAAATATTGGTGTATTTTCTGTGGTTTCAGATTTAATATCCGCATTTGTATCTTCAAACTATCAAAGAGACAATCCAATATTCTTTCCTAATGGAGAGTGGAATGAAGACGTATGCCCAACAGAATATTACCTTAATGAAAATGTGAAATCTGTTGTGTCATATTCCCTTTTGCGTGGTGCCATTGATGGTGAGTATTTTTATTTAAAACTTTCTTAAATACAGATAGGAATGTATCAAAATGAATCCCAGTAGTAATAAACTCGACTAAAACGCAGTATACATAATTATTAGAACAGTAGAAAATCTAGTTCCATATTCTAATCTATGGCATTCTTTCTACTTTAGTTTTACATTATTTGCCTGAGTTGTATTTAAATCAAACTATTGATTCTAGATAATTATCTCTTAATTACAACTAGTATTGACGTTTATCACTTTCATATTTTAGGATAACAACGTATAGCGTAGGTTTGTAACGCTAGGCAAAAACGCTACTTTAAACTGAAGAAGACTTAGATAAAACTCAAATAGTTTCATAACAGAAGAATGAAACTCAAAGAATAAAACTTTTTCCCTAATTATATATATACTTTGGCGTGTTTCTCTTCCAGTTAGCGTGTTTTAGTTAGTTTTTTGGCGTGTAATATGTAATTCTGTAAAGAAAAGACTGCTAGTTTTCCTCAGTCAGTTATGCTAACAAACCAAACTAAATATTAAACAATTCACTAATAAAAAACAAGGTTTTAATGAACCTCATTTTTTCAGTAAACAGAGAACATCGACAAAGAGAAATATAGAAAAAAATATGATTTTTGATCTCCTTATAGAAAAGTCAGTATTGTCTCTGAGTTTCGTTATAATCCGTGGTTTTTTAAATTGTAAACTTCATTCACTGTGTGACACCTGCTGTAGGTAAAAGTAGCTTAGTTAGTTCAATTCCAATAAAACTAACATGCTACTTAAATTCCGAAGTGAATTATTACTAGAAGAATTTCTAAGTGAACAGGCATAGAAGAAATAGCACTTTAAATTTATTCTACGTCACAACTTGTGAGGGATTAAATTTAAATATACAAGCGTATAGTTAAGTGGACCTGGTTTAAAACACAAAGTTTCTGTTTCTTCTAACAATCGTTATAAATTCAGCAATTTATATCTAACTTGACAGAAAATGCAAGCTTTGCCTAGACTGCAGCAGAAATTTAAACATATTGTTGCGTGCGTACGGGTTCGTAAGAGATTGAATGCACAAGTCCGATAAAAAGTTAATAAAATTTATTCTTATCACAAGAAATGTAACAAAATGCTAGGTTTTTCTCTCAACGATATTCGCACAATATCACACAGAAGTTATATTTTAAACTACTAAAACGTTAAATAGAACGCAATCCAAAGCTCAAAGAAAGCTAATCCAATCTCACCGCGAATTCGCTACAGTCAACAACAACAGTTATCTAAACTGTTGAACTAAGATGTTTCTCTCCGGCCTTTTAAATCTTTTTAATCGGGCAAGAGAATGTTCTGGTAATCTGTTTTCTGGAAGTTTCTGTGAAGCAAAAGTGTATAATTACGAGATATTTATTTATTAAATGTTAAATGCGCGTGCTCCTGTACTTTAACTTTTCCGTCGTAGCTTACTTTTAAAATAAGTCTCTTGCTGCATTGCATGGGGATATAAAACAGTTTTAAGTACAATTCTACTAAAAGTAGCTAACTAAATACAATGACCAATAGTGGAGTCGCCAACAGACTTTGTTTTAACTAACAAATCAGCAATGAATCGCAAGCCAAACTTTCCCACGCATATTCGTAATTCCTCTATCTCTTTATAGTAAACTGCTTGCCTCTTAATTCTGTATAAATTCTGAAATGAGCGAACCTCGGGGCGAAAAGAGTCAGAAAGGAAAGGAGTAAATTAAATAGCATTTCGTTAAATAAAACTTAAATGCCATTGTCTAAGATAAAAGTTAACATTCATTACATTTTCTATTAATAAATACTCTCTACAAATATAGGTGATACTTCACGCAATCTGTTTCTAAACGTATGACACTCACAACTCTCAGAACAGACTAGGGCAGCAGTACACCGGCCGTTGGGCAGCAGTACACCGGAAGCGAATTCCTGACTCCTGACTACAAAGCCGTAGTGCGAGCTTCCTTGCTCATAGCGCAAATACGAACTAGTTTCCCTTATAAATCCTTCTCGAATCTCTCTCATTAGATAACCGCTCTTTGCTATTAAATGATAGAAATTAAAATAAAATGTTATTTTTACAGTAAGGCAAAAAAGGCTGCAATAACAAAAATTAATAGTAGTTTCGTTTTAAATATATAATCTGTAGATGAATAGCTTCAAATGGCTTAAAGATGCTGTTGCAATTCTTTAAAAATGAATAATTTTAGCTTTAAAATTTAAAATTTTAATTTCATTTAAAGAACAAGCTTTTATCTAAAATTTAGAGTATATTACATGTTCTTAAGAATTTTTTCTCGAAACAGGGTTCATCCTTGGAAGACTAGTAGAAGAAAATCTTCAAACTTATAAACACCTTCGACTGAGTCAGATATTACGAATGTACTATGGCCCATCTGGACTTGTCAGTGGCACTAATAGTAAGGATCAACAGTGGTGCAACAGGAACTCGCTGTATACCTCTAAGAAGGTTAGCAATGAAGAATACAAGAACTATCTTAAGCTGTATAATGTTTATCGCGCTGCAGATGACAAGTCACAGTTAGATGAAATAGATAACGTTTTAAATATCATTGAGAACAAAGCGGAAATTTTTGAGATAGTATCTGGTATGCTATTTTTTTCTTTAAATTTTAAATTTGAATTTTCAAGAAAAAATATTTTATGTATTAATTTTGATCACATTACGCATTTTTACAGTTGAATCATCAACGGAGTGCCGGACAGATTCAAGTCAAGGTAGGTGAATATTTGAATTCATTTTATATAAAAAATAACATTGATTTTAAACACATAGCTCAAGAAAAAATGCTCTAAGAAACTAATACCTTTTTTATTTTCGCCATCATTAAAATACTGCAGAATGTAAAACATTTACACTCATAAATAGCAATTTGAAGAAGGCTAAGGATGTGAAATCTTTTCATTTTCATTTGTAACTGAATCATTTATGATATTAAGGTATAAGATATTTCTCCCGCCTTCTTAGCGAGCCTTCGTGGTGTAGTGGTCTGTACGCTCAGCTCGTAATTGAGAGGTCCCTGGTTCGATTCCCGGCGAAGTCGTTGCTAATTTTTCAATCTCTCTTGCTTTAAAAAATAACCTAATGTCTTTACAAAAAATAAATATTTATAGCAATGTTTAAACTTAGCCAATCTTCCTATAAGAGTTACAATTTCTTCTAATATTTGATAAGTTACAAGGACTTAAACAGTAATATCAAATTCTTAACGGATTGAATTTCAATGAAGGGGACCAGTATATCTGGAAGTTAGTTGTTTATATAATCAGACTGCCATTTTGAAGAACATAATTTATTGGTGGAAAGCGCTGCAGCGATATGCAATATTAAAGTCCAATAACATTTATCGCAAATGCTTAGCAACGCTCAGAACTCTAGCATTTAAAATGATAGTTTGATTAAGTTGTAGAATTTAGTTATAGCAGAAATGCGGTACTAACTGAAGAATTCAAGGAATGGGTATTTGTAAAAGGGGCTAAATAGGGCACAACTAGTCCTTTTGCAAACAATAATTCTGCGGATACTTAACTTACCATAACAAAGTTACCGTTACAATTCCATGAATTCTTCAGTTACCGTTATAAATTGCTTTACTTGCTTCCTCAGTTGTGTATCAAGGTAAGTGTGACAGGGTGCTCGAATATCGTTGCTGGTATAGTAAAAGAGGTGCGCTAAAAATATGTAAATTAATTTTAAGAGTTTAATTTAATTCTCTTTAGGTTTGATATCTGTCATTTGGAGTCTACTGTTTAAATGGTACAACTCATATCAAGGTCACTATTTTTCGAATAGGCAGTGGAATGTAAGATTATCAGGACTAGTGTTTCTTTTGACTTCTTTGGAAACATGAATTGTAATGAATAAGAACAGGGAGCTTACTCAAGCTATGTTCAGGAAGGTGTAAAATAGACAAGACAAGCAGGAAGGGTATACGAAACCCTTTATTTTCTATCTTTACAGGTATTCCCGAACTTCGGGATACAGAGACCAACCACTCGTGGTCTGAACGTAAGAATATAAAAACTATTAACTAAAACTCTAACTAAAACTAACTTTGAATTAGTATACAAATGCCTAGCACCAAGATTGGCCTTTCCTTAAAGAAAGGTACGTATGTAGTACGCCGAGCTGCTAAAACTACGATACGTCTGCAATTATCAAGAGGGCTAAACCTCTGGCCTTGAAGGCAACCAGCAATAGAGTGAAAACTCGTAAAACTACAGTGGCAAGCGGCTTGCTTCCTACAAATCCTTTCTCTCTCTTGCTTGGCAAAAAGCTACAACTTAAGTGCTTGGCGTTAGCAAGACAATTTGCATAAATAAGTTAAAGCGTTTAATTCTGGCCGGAAGTAAAAAAAAAGAAGTTATAATAAAGATTTAAAATAAAATAAACGTTAGTAAAACTTAGGATCCTTACAAGATATTTAACGACCCATTTCAGATGCATTTGCTAAATGATCTATTGAGACATTAAACAGGCGGTAACTGTTTGGCACAATGTAGCAACGAACAATGGCACGTCATCATGGCATGGCACGTCATCAGTTTTCTAACAGCTGTCGCGTTGACTTTTGTAGCTAAGGAATTATTATGGCTGCTTTTTGCCTTTCTTGCTTTCGTCATATGAAAGTTAGAAGCCCATTCCGGATTAGCCTTGTGTCTTCTGATTGAAACATTTCAGTTTCAGGTCAATTTCCAACTGCTTAGGCTACATCGCATGTGCAGTTACATTTGCATAATACTTAACTGCTTTCTCCATAAGATATCATTTGTCGACTTTGTGACATTATGTCAAGATATAAGATTTTAATGAGACCGTCTGCGGAAGTTTATTTGAGCACTAAAAGTTATTGCTGTGTATTTCATTTGTGGATATTAAAATGTTGTTTATCTTTAATTTCCACATTATTTGTTCTCGAAGTGTTAGTTTGCTGCACAAATGTCTTGAAACGCCTAACGCGTTTTAGGTTTATTTCATAAAATATAATTTTCTTTAAATATCTGTGTTCAATCTTTGTTCTTTAAATTCTTTATTTAAATATCTCTGTTCAATAACATGTTTTGTGTTACAATTAATTCGGCATCGTTACTTGTAATGCGTGTAACAGTGTAAGATGATAGCATATTTAAGATATGAACCTCCCATCCTAATCATTCCTATGACAACACTGCTTCTCACTTGAATTTCAAGATGACTGTCACATGAATGTTCGGGGAGAACGAAGATGCCCGAAATCTGCAGCTCAAGCCAACTTCGCTATTGCGATTCATGAATGCCTGAACGAGCTCTAGTCGGTGGATAGGATGTAGGTTCTTAAATTCATCAGTCCCTTATCCTTGGCCGCTTTAAACACTTACCTTACGACACCAGACAAGGTCCTGTGATGTATCGTTAAATTGTAAGTCAGGAAGAATTCAGGAATAAAGGTGGTGCGAAGATGGGGTTTAGAACAAATAATTGTGATATTAAATTTATAATGAAATAATGGCATATGTAAAGGGATTTTCTGGCCACCCTGTTATATTAATAGATTTTTATTTAGTACAGATCTGAGATTCGCATTTTGTTGAATGACAGAGGCTTTAAGTTTATTTTTATTTGTGAATTCTATAACTTATATTATTTTTTATATGCCCATTCATTTCAGAAAAATTCTAATGATGCACGTAAGCTGTAATATTTTCAAAAAAAAAATTCCATTTCTGTTCTGTAAAATTTCATTTTTATATTATTTAACAAGCTAAACCTTTTCGCGAAAATAATTTCTTTTACCAAAATTTTCGACATAATAAAAATGTAGTTGTTAATAAATATTTATTTGATAAAGAGAAGAAAAAGAAAGCAACTACATTTGAAATATTTTTAATCCTAGGTGCAAAATGTGAAACTCCAACCAACATATTTGCTATACTAGATGGAGCACAATTAAATAACAATTTCCAGATGGAAGTAATTGGGTAAGTTCTTATTCTTAACAGCAAACATTTCTTCGCCTTTTTAATTAATAAGTCATAAATAAAAGAACAAAATAGTTGTAAAGTTTCAATTTTATAATTTGGCGTAATTCTTCACTCAGATTACCTGAGATATACTTCCCGTTGTATGAGGCCCTGAACTACTTGTTACTTTTAAATGTTAAAGTATATTAACATATTTTTAAGCTATGGAATTTCAGCTGCAATTCAGACGAAGAAAATATTTATTTCCTTCCTTTTTCTTAGTGAAAAATCACAAAGTGAACAAAAGGTCGCCTTTAGTTCTTATTTTTTTTTTTTTTTTTTTTTTTTTTTTTTTTGCATAAACTTTAAGTGTGCAGCCTTCCTTTCAGCCTCCGTAAGTACACTAATGTTTTTGAAAAATGCAACACCATAAAGGCATTGTCGGAAATTAATGAAATTCATTCACGTATTACTAATCGTGTCGTGTCAAATAAACTGTCAAGTTTACAAGGTTAAAAAAGGTCGGAAATCAGTACTTTGTGTGTCCACCACGCCGAGCGATCAGAGCCTGTACTCGTCGTGGCATTGAAGCATACAGGTTCTGAATGTAATCCTGAGGAACCGAATTCCATATCACTTCCACTTGTTCGATCAAAGTTCCGTCTTAATATGTGATTCACCAACTGTGCAAGCGAGTGAAATTCCAAACATGCTCAATGGGCGACATATCCAGGGAACGAGAGGCCATGGAAGAAGAGAAACCCATTGTGCTCTAATGACGGCTTGTGTAATCTGAGAAACATGTGCACGAGCATTATCCTGCTGAAATATAGCGCCTGGAATACGAGGAAGTATAGGAAGGACCTCTGGCTCCCCAACTTCCCTTATGTAGCGATCACTGTTAGGCTGCTGGCAATCTGCACTAGATGGGATTGACAATGATACCCAATAGCTCCCTACACAATGATGCTAGGCGTTTGTGCGGTATGACGCTGGATAACACACTATGCGAGCAGTCGTTTTTCTTTCTCTAATGTCTGGGGTGTACTCTTCCATCGTTGGTCTCTAGACTGTAGCAAAATACATCGAGAAAACAACTTGTTTCCACAAGGCACGCAACGCATTGTGTTGCTGTGCCCATTGAAGTCAGAGGGGTTTGTGATTCAGCGACAGGGCGTAGCTGTGATTTAGCAGCGTAGATGAACCCATTCATACGCAGTTCATGCTGCAGCAGACGGTGACGAATCGTGGAGCTAGACAATACAACACCTGTAGTTGTGCTCCAACGTTGTATTAACACACTAGGGGACTCTGTACGATCCGTCACAGCCATTCGAAAGAGGTGTCTGTCGTTCCGAGCCTTTGTACTCTTGCATGCCCACTGCCAGGACTTCGCCTTGTTTGGTTCTCCTCTGTCCATTTCTTCCAAACACGCATAAGTGTTGTGGTATTATATTGCCTGCGCGCTGCGATTGCTCGATACGAAAGTCCACCCTCTCGGATACCGACGATGCGGCCTCGTTCGAACTCCGTTAGTTGTTGGTATAGCACCTTGCGCTGTTGAGGAGGCATATTGACCACTAATTAATCGTTCACCGCAGACAGAGAACGATAAACAGATTTCAACGCAACTTTACAGTTCATAACATGCATGGTTCTCATTGCACCCACGCACAATCGCTTTGTAAGTCTAATCATTTGCACGTCTTACTTCACTTTACATTTTTTGTAAGTTTGGTTCAATTTCCATAATTTCTTCATTGTGTTGCAATTTTCGCAAACACTAGTGTATTATTAATATATTATAATAATAATATAATATAATGTATAATTAATACATTATTATTAATGTTTTTTTCAGATATATAAGTAAATATAATTATATATATGCATTAATAATATATACATATACGCATCTGAAAATATATGTCTCTGCAAATATTATTATTAAAATAAACAAAAGATTATGTTAGCTTTAAAAAGCTAAATTACCAAGGTTTCGGATAACTTTCAAGCAAAATCTGGCGTAATTAGTTGGAGATATACTCAATAAAGAGGTTGTGCAATTAACGTTTTATCTCTCTCCGTATCTTTTGTATTTCTTTTAATTGATTATATAATTTTATTTTTTATTAATTACGTTTATTTATTTATTTTTGTAAAACAACGTTTATTTAATCTGAAACATTTCGTACTTAAAATGTTCAATATTGTCTTTCAAAATTAGTGCGGCACGAAGGAATTTTTCATAAGCCTGAATTTTAGCGCATACAAACTACAACACATAAATACAAACTACAAAACAGCTTTTACTCCTTAACGGATATTTTTTATTATAATACAAATTTAAAAATAATTACTTACAAATAACGTTCAAAAATGAAAGATTTATTTAATTATGGTTCTGAACTATTCGACATAAAATTTAGTTTTAGGAGGAAACTACGAAAAATAATATATATTAATTTATATATTTTTATTTTATAATTATTATGAGTACATTTCTACTCAATAAGGAATACTTAGTGTTTTCTATAGATGCAATATATAGTCTGCACTAATATATTTTCATATCACCAAATTTTGCATTTTTGTATTGATTTTATGTTCCAGGAAATTATCAGTTGATTTTGATATTCGTCCGCATGGAAGTTCAGTGGGAGTATACTTTAATTCTAAAAGCATGCAGAGAAGAAGCCTAGATCTTATAGCAAACCACACTGGAATTTCAGGATGTCCAGGATGTTATGTTAGGCATTACAGGAGATGTAAGTGTAATTATTACAAATGACAAAAATGTAAGAATATTTTCCAAAAATATTTAGTCTTTAACAGTAATGTTTTCGAATTCGTAGTATAATTAGTTCGAAATTAATCCTTTATTTCATTCATTCCGATAACTTTAGGGATTTATTTTATTTCTATTTCAGTTCATACACAATTTTAAAAATTCTTGCGAGACCTACAGAAAATTTAGGAAAAATTACTTCTTCTCTAAAATAAATTATTACGCAGCTTCTTTGGTTCTGAATTGTGAAAAAAATTTCACTTAAATAATTTATCATTAATTATGTTTCAACTTTAAAAATATTAGTTCTGATCATAATTAAGAATATTTTCTCACAAAGTTTAAAAAGTCATTCTAATCTTTATAAAGTACGTGTAATTTAATTCAATTTAAAAATTTAATCCTATAAATTTCTAAGATTTTTTGTTGAGTTGGTAAAAAGAAAATACCTCATTTGCCCTTTGTTAGTTGAAGTTGCTTCAGGCTTATCTTTACTGTGCTACTTAGTTTTTTGAAATATATAAAGATAATAGCCTAAATTTTATTTACTTGTTTACACGTGTCTTTGAAGTACATAGACATGCCTCAGCAGATAATAAGCAAAATTATTCTACTGAAGTGCACTTAAATTTCTGCTTATTATTGTTTAAGGATTTACTATTGTAGTGGTGCCTCGCATAACGAAAGCCTCGCATACGCAACATCCAATGTCAACAGCACACAAGGAAAAAATGTCCTGGGTCGCATATTAGGGAATGCAATGGAATTTCATCATATATAAAAACGTGGGGCTAAATTAGTTTCACTTTATGTTTTAATGGCACCGAGGAGAGGATAAATAAACATATTCGTTTATATTAAATTTTTACTGAAAACTATGAGTTCTTTTTGACCAGAAACATGAGCTTCCTCATGTTTCTGGTCAAAAGGAAATTTTACTCTGAGCTTCTTGGCTTCTTGCCTTATGAAACTATCGAGAACATTCTGAAAAAGTGGAAATTGGACCAAGAATACATGTCTTAAAAAGGAAATTTATTTAATTCAAAATCCTGCACAGAGAAATGAAAAAAGGTCTAGCTCATAGTCAAGCAGAGACACCCCGATAAGAAGAGATGAAGGGATTGGCTGATTCGTTTAAAAACATTATCATGTATTACTTGAAAACAATGCTAAGAAATAAAGAGTCCACACCACAAAATTTATAATTCACTTTAAATAACTTGGAACTTCAATCTTCCCAAACACTAAAGAAGACAAGCAAGAGCTTGCTGAGTCTTCTACATTCAGTGGATGATTGGGAAGACTCAGACTAATCTTAAAAATTGCGAAATTGTGTACATTGAAAGCATGAAAATATTTTTATAACTAATAAATTAATACTATCTCAGTATTCTCGACACTGGTATTGTTTTAATATTTCCCTTTTTTTCCCCTTCCAGTACTTCGTGATTTTGCACGGGCTTTGAAAAGGAGTAAAATTATGAGCAGCATAATGAGCACCATGTTGGAAGAGATAGCGTTCGTTATGAGAGGCACAACTACATTATCATATCTAACCTATATGAATTAGAAATCTCTTCAGTTATTATTTATTCATAGAATTTTGAATCAACTTTATATATTAATCATACTGCTTGTATGATTTCTGACTGATATCTGACTGATTTTCTGACTGATATCTTCCTTTATGATTCTATTTTAAGCTGGTGGCTCAAAATTAAACGAGGATGAAGTTTTTCATAGCTTGAACGAAACCTTAACTGAATTTGAAGAGGCATATGACAAAGCTCAAGAAAATCTTCATGAAGCTAAGTCTGGAACGCCAGCAAAGGTTTGAAAAGCTTTTTTGACCTATATACGTATTATAATGCAACGGAAGTGTAAAATGTTTGAATGCCAAAAGTGAAATAAACTTAGACTGCAAAAATTTAATTATTTTATGCAACTAATAACAATTTTATGCCAACAACTGCAACAACAATCAAGCATATTTATCTATATAATAAATTGCTGAACAGTTATTTCTTTTGAAGGTTTCTGCGGCACGACACACGTTTCTCAGGAAGCATAACTTTTTAAAGAAAAACATTTTCAAACTTTCGATTTCACACTTTTAATGTTTAAAATAAAAGATCTTATAATTGCAGCGGAATTATTTTCAGTTTGATATATTATATAATTATCAGTACAATTCTAAAGAAGTTTTCAGAAGTCTTTTTCTGCATGCTACATTTTCATGAATATAAAACAGCATGTATATGCATATATATATATATATATATATATATATATATAAATCAAGAATAATGCTAAGCTATCTGACAGGAAGAACATAAATCAAAATTGAAACAAAAACAAAAGAACATAATAAAATGACATATTAATACACCGGTGTCCAAAAGTTAAGAATAATTGATGTTTGTGGGAATGTTTAAGAATATTTATATTTGAATGACGGGAAACGTTATATGCGAGTGTAATATGTTTATACCATAAGAAAATAATGCAATCATTTTTATTATCCAAAGAAACAGTTTGAAAGAAAACAACGCAAACTAATAGGTTGCACTTTACTGAAAAATTTTAAAAAAAAGTTTTTTTGGCAGTTTAATAAGGTGTATGGTTGCCACTAGTAGCTACGCATGCTGCACAAAGATTGCCCATATGTGCTATGAGAGTGTGGATGAGTTGTGGCCTCAAACAGTTCCAAGTATTAAGGAGAACTCTCTCTTTTTAGTTCTGAAACGGAGTTTGGTGGGTGTGGAAGGGCTGAAATTTTCTCCGCAGCATATCCAACACATGCTCAATAGGATTAAGATCAGGAGAGTGAGCATACCACTGGTTAGTTTCACTTTCAAGGAAATTGTCGACCCGGATCGCACGGTGATAATGCACGTTATCATCCATGAATATGAGGCCAGAACATCCAGTACATCGAAACAGGCGAACATAAGGCTCAAGGACTTCGTCTCTGCGCGATTAGCAGTATCAGAGCCCTGTCATAGACATGGAAGTCTGTGTGGGCATTCAGCAATATAGCTGCGCACACCATGACTTCCTTTGAAGGAAAATGGCGCCTTTCCGTGATATCGTTATCCGACGAGAATTAGTGTTCAGAAGAAACCGGGACTCGTCAATGAACAACACATTGGCCCACTCTTGGAAAATCTCATGTTGATGTTTTAAACTCCAGTTTAGGTGAGAGCGTTTATGCGCAGAGGAATAAAATGAGAGGAATGCCAATGACTTGTCGTGTGGCATACATACCAGCATGATGGAATCTCCTAGAAAACAGTTTACCTTTAACTTCGTACTTCTGTGGCAACGGAGTTCCCTGGCACAATTTTCCCTCAGACATTGTGCAGTTATTGCCAGATATAGGTCTTAATGGATGATTGTTACTCTTACTCGATCTTGCAGTGGTCGTCTGGCAAATTATCACGTACGGTGAAACCGCTGCCACAGTCTTGAAATCACACACTGAGGCACATTCAAAATTTGAAAACTTCGGTTTCAGGTCATTCACATTTCAGTATTCCAATAGTTCTTCTTTTTAAAAGCATGTCCATTTGGCGTCTTTGTGACATCTTTCGGCACGTTTAATCATTTAACTCGCTTCTCAGCAGTAATACGATGATTTTATGCAATTAATTTAGTAATTGCACATAACCTGCCTGATCTCCATATGGCGCATGAAATAGTTTTATACTTTTTCTGAAGTGCGCATATGTTTTGCGCATGCCAACGTCGACTGAAATGTTTTGCATATGCACATTGTTTCACCTTGAAACAATTATGCTCCACAAGTGATTTTGAACAATTTAATTAATATTTACTCATGCTATCCCGCATTTTACACATTATGCTAACTTTTGGACACCAGTGTATAAAAATACAACAAACACCTAAAACTTCTGTGGTCTATTTTAAGTAGCAGCCGAAAGAAACCAAAGAATAATAACAAGCAGTTGAAAGAATTTTCAACTGCTTGTTATATTATTGTATTAATATGTTATTTTTAGTCTTGCTTCAATTTTGATTTATATTATTCCTGTTGTTTACTTGCCAACATTTCTTGATTTAATTATTAACGCTTTATTATATACATATATATATATGAACTTAAAGCATCTAAACTTAAAAGTAAATTGGAGTCAAAGCAAGGTAATTCCTCAACAATATTAATAACTGCATCCTTGTAAAGGGTTTAAACATAAAATCAAATCATTTCAAAATAAAAATGATCACAGTAGTACAAACCCGAAAACTAAAAATGCAAAAAGGGAAAAAATTTCAACATCAAAATTTCCAACTTGGATATGGTTCCCAAAGTGAAAGGAAGACTTTTTAAAGGATCAATTTATATCTTACAGCATAAATCACTTTACTCATATGTGCTCAACTCTTGCCTTTGGAGTGTAACAGACCACAATGAATCTACTACTTGCAGTCAATTTTAAATTTACAGTAAGAAGACTTTAAGGTGGAAAAAGAGAAGGTATAAGAAATATTAAAAATTTTTTGCTACTATGAATACAGAGCAACTACAAAATAAATTTAGCAGATTACTACAGGCTGCCTTAAATTACTCCCCATTTTCAATAAGAAAATTTTATGGCAACTACTTAATTATTTCTAACAACATTATACAGGTTTCTAAATTATTAAAGACTTAGTTATTGACTTCTGTAATTTTAAATTGGAAAAAAGCAAAATTCTAACTAAAAAAGCTTACTGAACTATTAAATTTAATCATCCAGTTTATGATTCACATAGCATTAATCAAATCTCTAAATCCTTTCAGCATCTGTTTTAAAATAACAAACATAAAACACATCAATGTTTCAAATATACAAAGAACTTGAGTAACTTAATAACTGGGGAGCATGTTATAGATTCTAAAACTATCTGACTGTGCAATCATCCAGAATATCATACTTTTGTGATTAACCACCAGCAGCATATTACTGCTGGAGATTTAAAAATAATAGAAGACCTCGCTTTAAGAAAAGTAACGCAATTAGGGACACAATTTAGATAAGTATTAAGAAACAGAAAGAAATTCTGCATCGACACCTTTAAAAATATTGTTTTTAAAGGTGTCGATGCAGAATTTGCATTCATTGTTTCTACCAAGCTACAAAACTAATATATTCATTGCTACAGTTTTAGAATGGAAAGCAGCGGTTTTTAACAACTTCAAGTGTAACTTATATCAGACATGCAAACTATTACAATTTAACCGCAACAAAAAAGATATTACTATTAAAATCTGTCAGCTTAGACAAAAATTCATCATCACTTAAAATTAACAAAGCCAGTAATCATTTCAATATTATTTTACTACCACTATCTGAAATGAGCATATATATTATAGCTTCAGTATTTAACCTGTTTTAAGCTCTGTTCACCTAACAGTTTATGAGTTACTTCAGAAATAGTGGCTAGTTATGGCTTTGTTTAAAATCAGACTTGCACAAAGTACACTTTGCAAATTATAATCAACAATCTTTAATTCGACCACATCTAGTGGATATGCAGGTAAAGAAGAAATCTACGAAATTAAAATTGGTAATGACAAGTAAAACTTGTAACAATCAAGTGACCTGGCAGTGTAGTGACGTACCACTATCAAAGGTGAAAAATATTTAAATAAGACACTTGGTTTTAATATTCATGTAACTAATAAATAAAAGGAGCTCACTTACCATCTCTGACGGTACAGGAACTCTATGCTGCTTGCAATCAGTGCTAATTTCTCTCCAAAAAAGAATAGCTGGATAGGTATAAGCAATTACCAATAGCAAAAGAATTCTTCACGCATCAAGAAATGAGTTGCGTTCTTCAATCTTTAAACTTCATGCGAATGCTTCGTATTTGCGTATCCTCTTCTGATCTGACAGAATGCGTGTCATGAGAAAAATAAAAAAGAAGATAGCGTAGTGTTTAAATTAAACTTAAATGTTATAAAAATGTTATGTAATTGTCGTACTACATGTAATTATTGAAGCACACGATGAATATATGCAAACATATTTCGTATTCTTATTTGATACTGTTTTTAACTGGTTTCAATTTGATGACACCGTCTATAATCGCCATTTAATGACATCAACTATTCATGAAATGAAAACATCTTAGCTCATCAACAGGAATATTGATTTCAGTATAAAAGCCGGTTTCTAAATCTTGCTGATAGCACCATTCTCGCTGATGATGATTTATAGCATCTTAAACAATCATTTCAAGCATGATTTTGAAGCCCTGAATATTCACAGCAACTACTTCGCTTACCTCATTTCAAGGAAATAAGACAGTGAAATCTTAGCAGAAATTTAATACCATTCTTTCAACCTTCATCTATGGATAGGACGTTGACATAGTCTATGTGGATTCTCTGGATTCCATTATATGAAATTCAGCTTACTAACATTAATAAACAGTTCTACCGCGTCAATATTGTACTGCATGGACCAACACTTCTTAAGAATTAAACTCCCAGCTGTACTGACTATGATGATCTCACGACTTCACTATAGTATCACCATGCAGCATATAGTATGTAACTATTCATCTCTGAAAATAGTCAGGCTTTTTTTTCAAGGAAACCTATATTATGCACCACGCCTACAAAAGTCTTAATTAGGTCATTATTTTTGCGTCCATTAGTCGTAAACATATACATTCACCTACAAAAGTATCTTAAATAATACAAATATTTATATTTGACATTTTTAAATGTAAAAAATCATCATAATAAAAGTTACAAAGCTTAAGTTTTTATACTAGCCCTTGATATTAAGTTTATTCCCATTCTAAAAAATAAAACAGAAAAAGTTTGATTTCTATGAGACCAAAATTGCATGCTTCCAATTACACCACGAAGGCAAGCGGAGAGGAGAGAGAAAATAGCTTATAAATTCTGTGAATAAATTATCCTTTTTGTAAAAGAAAAATTAGAGTGATTATACTTTTCACTATAGCATCACTTAACCTATTAAAATCAGAAACCTTTCTATAAAATGAGATTTTTACTTTCAGTTACTTACAATTGCAAACATCTCGCTCTGCAACTTGTATACGACACCTGAACACGAGTTTTCAACGTACGGGAGTCAAACATTTTGTGATATTTTAGAACGAGCATACATCTTTAAAAAATACAATTATAAGGATCAATAGGCCGTATAAGAAATAAAATTTTGGAAGTTTTTATATTTTAAATTAAAATTGGCATAACACATATATTTTCCTTATTTAAAGTATTTCTGTAATTGGAAGCGTACGTCAAGGACCTCCCGCTGATTAAATGCATAAACGGATCCTATTAATCTTCCTCGCTTTACTATTCGCTTCAATATTTAGTGCTGTAATATGTAAAAAACTCTTAAAACGTCACCAAACATATAAATAAATAAAAACATAAAAATAAAAGGATTTATATCAAATTACCATTTTAATTTGAATTTCCTCAAGTCATGTTAGTTTCCGCTAATTTCTTCTTAAACTCTCTTTATATATTTTTCTCTGTTTCTGCTTACCATTTTATTTTTATGTTATTTTTATGATATTGATGTTGATGGATTTTATTCATAAGCAATCTGTAAAAATTAATTCTTGATTCTTATGCCAAAGACCAATAGTTACGAAAATGTAGGCCGTATAAGTGCTTTTATGAATACGGTATATATTATAAGTAAACATTTTTTTCCTATCACTATAAGCAGGCTGCGAAATCATCGAAGCTATTTATTGGAAAAATATCTAAGTTAGTATATATGAAGAAATTTTAATAATAATTGATGTATTTTAGATTCTTCTGTACTGTGAAATAATCAGGTAAAGAAAGATTAGAAAAGAAGATTAAATCAAAATTTATTCGTGAAATTACTATAACAGAATTTTATGTACCAGCCTCAAAATAATATATGCGTTTAAATTTTGCACACTTACTCTAAATGCTGTGATTTATCACATATACCTCTTTTACGGCATCTACCTTTTTAATATAACATAAGAAACGTTTAATGTTCTTGTACATTCCATTATTGTCTTATATGTCACTTATTTAACTGATTAACAGTTGTTAACTCATAAATATATTAAACTGTTAATTTCAGCAATTGTAATCTACTTGCTAATAATGCTTTGGTAGCACATGTTAAGGCATTAAAATTTCCATTATTCGTGCTTTGAAAAATTGAAGTGTTTATGAATGTTATGTATGCCGAATGCACGAATTATATAATGCATTTAAAATAAAGAAGCATTTTTATAGTGCTTTCTAAGAATATGTTTTGAGGAACTACTTTCAAAGAATGTCTCACAAACTGACAATGTGGTTTCTTTTAGGTCATTCTGTACTTCAATAATGGAAAACCAACTAATACTCACAAACTTAGAGATGCTGTTTGGGAAGTGGAGAAGTATTTTAGAGGTAAGCTATCTTGAAAGGCAGATATTTATAACAAAATGCTTATTATTCTATCTAGTACAGCTCAAAAAAACATGGAAATAAATTATCTTTGTATTCGATAGACGTCAACAATTGTTCCTAAATAAAGCAAAATTAAATAAAATGTCCAGCCGAGATTGTATTTGAACTTTGATATTAAGTAAACATAAAAATTAAACAGCGTTTCCAATAAACATTATTACAATAAATTTCTTGAAATATTTCTTATTTGCTTTAAATTTAAACTGCCACAGCATTAAAGTATATTTTGAATAATAAAATCCAAATATGAAAAATTGCCTAACTTATTCATTATAATAGCTTATACTGGATTTTTTACCTGTTCATATTTACTAGGATTTTATGATGTACATTATACTTCCGTCGAACTTTGGAAACACCACTTTGTAGACAGTTGATCCTAATTAGTTAGGACACCTAGAACCCCAAATATTTTGCCCTAGTTAAGCTACTGTTACTACTAGCTAAGTTGTTTTAAGAAAAACATAAAATATTAAGTTAATACTTAACGATCTAAAAATACACATTATTTATTTAAATAAATTACGTAACCTAAAAAGTGAAGTAGGCTCTTAACGACACAAAAGCTTTTCATATAAGACATTTCCACTTTTTTTTTCTTTGTGTACCATTTTCCAGTATATGCTTGTTCTTAATAAAATACTCTGATTTAATTCGCTTAAAATAATAATATTTCTTGGAAATGTTTGATGCTTAAGCACTTAATTTATACAAAGTAAAGGGGAATATTTGTGAAGTTTGCCACTATTATTTAAAATTACTGAAAGAATTTGTTTTGTCTTACAAATCCCGACAAGATTTTCCATTGACTATATATAAATGAAATAGAGCACTGACTTCTAATGTATATGACACAATTGCCTTCTTCATGATGCACTGTCACATTAATTGATATTCTTTTAGCATTCTTTAAATACACTGTTTTGTTCTGTATTTACAAATTTATACTCTGCTTAAAAAATTCTTCTGAATTTGCTAAACTTAATAGGCAAGCACTTGATAAAAGTGCTGTAAAAGACGACGCCAAGATATAAAATAAATAGCTTATCTTGAACATACTAGAAAAGTAAAATAACAGGAGTCCTGGAACGATGGAAAGAGGTCGGTGACAGATATTGCTTATCTTCGTATTAGCTAGGTACGTGATCTACGGTAGTGAAATTTTCTTAAGGGCAGTAAGACGATTTCGGCAGGGAGTAGCTTGGAAATTTTCATTTTCAACAACGTAATATTTTATGAATAAAATTCACTGTTTTATTAAAATATTTTACTTACGGAAATTATGCATTTTTATTATTATTATATTAAAGGGAAATTTCATTTTTACTTAAAATGTTGTATTTTTGGAAAGAAATCGAAAACTTGCATTGAAATGATAGGCTTCTGATCAATGGTCACATATAAGTACGCATAAAAATATTTCGTCTTAACAGAAGCCTTTTAAATTTCTACTGTTACTTAAAAATATTGCATTTCTCAAAAATTCAAGTAATTCTGCTTTTGTTCTGCGTCACTTAGCATACAAATATGGAAGAAGTTTTAGTGCAATAAAATTTGAAAAACCTAAAAAAGGTAACATGTTTAAAGAAAACCAACGACTTGAAAATTCGTTTCTTCTTGGAAAAAAATTTTTAATATGTTTAACCAACATAGTCTGTAATGAATATTATATAATGTAAAATTTATATTTGTCTGGTGTTTAGAATTTCATAAAGGTTTACCTCTATACAGTCATATTTCGTCTTACCCCGTGCGTAAACCTCCACGGCAGAAATATAGTACAATTCGCGAGACAGTTCCGCTATTTGGGTGTGATTATAGACGACAGATTCTCCTAGCTGCGTCATATTAAGGACCTTAAAGAAAGGCTGCATAAGCTGTGTAACATAATGTGGAGAACAGCTGCTCCCAGCTGGGATGCCTCCCCGCAGATGCTCAAGGCATGGTATGCCACAGTCGCTCAGCGCATAGCTCTTCATAACGTCTCCTTATGGGGCGCCAATGTCACGATTAACATGCATCAAGCATTGGACTCGGCTCAAAGACCATTTCTTCTGGACATCTGCGGAGAATTCCGTACCGCTCCAATAACTGCATTAAATGTATTGGCAGGTCTTATGCCCCTGCACTTGGTAGTATATAGCGAGAGTACTGTGCTGAGAGCAATCAGACTAAAACAAGACATTATTATTTGGAGTAAGACTTATATATACTCGGACTACAAGAATCACATTTCCCACTCTCCTTGCCACCCTGCAGACTTCGATATAGAAGCAAGGTGTAATCACACATGTACATTACAATCCTCAGCCGCCTATACTGATGGCTCCAAAGGAGAGCTCGGGACTGGCAGTGCCTGGCATGCAATGTATGGTGACCTCATAATCCATTCCTGGGCTAAGAAACTTCATCCCAGTAACTCAGTGTTTCAGACAGAACTTACAGCCCTAAAAGCAGCTCTGCTAGCAATGAAGGGTATAAAGTAGTTTACACAGACTCAGTGTCATGTTTGCAGGCCATCCAGGACGGCCGCAGTAAACATGCCGTAGTACGAAAACTATTAATTTCGATTTCTGCAAGTCTGAGGTCCAAGCTTCAATGGGTTCCAGCCCATACTTCCGATTAAAGGAAAAGAAGCGGCGGATGTGATTGCGGAAAGCGCAGCTAATGAACCCCATTGAGTAGCATTAGTATGCCCCTTCCGCATTCATATCTGAAAACCACTCTAAAATATGAATTAATGAAACAATGGCAAAACTACTGAGAGTCAAGCACCACAGGCAGAAGACCGTATAATTTTCATCCAAAAGTAAGCCAGAATTTAAATAGCAACTCTTCGCCCCTCACACAGTATCTGACAGGGTGTGGCCCATATATGTCCTATCTTCACAGATTTCGTCTAAGAGACAGCAACCAATGTATTTGTGGCAGTAAAAGTGACCCAGATCACTATCTGTCTGATTGTCCAAACACAGCGAATTCACACTGAAAACGACCAGCTGCAAGCTATATGCCGACATGGTTCAAGAACACAATTAAGAATGAATATGACTCAAACGCATTGAAGACTGCACTATCATTGCTAAAAGCATTGCTGACAGCCTGGAGTGACTTCTTTCCTTGGACAACGTGCAGTCAGTAGCTCGCTCTGTACATATATTAATCTACTTAATATCTTGTGTTTTTGTTTTGTTTTTAATTATGTTTAATATTATGATTAATCCAGAACTCATTTAATGTATTTCATAATTTGTGTATTTGTTCAGATTTCATCTTTATATCTGTAACTGAGTCTATATCATATCCTTAATATATCTGTACGCCTAACATGTACCATAATAGTGAAAGGTGGCCAACCTTAGTCTCAACAGTCCCCGCCATGCATTCTTTCCATGTTCTGGTCCTCCTCTTAATGTTCCTCGTTTAGCGTGGCCAATTCCCGGAGGACACAGCACTAAGCTCCAAATGTAATCAATTCCCGGAGGACACAGTACTAAGCTCCTTATTTATATTTATTTATTTTTATCGACGGGATTCAACAAGCTAAAAAGCACCTAACCCAGTGTGCCAGCTGTTCTGTCCATGGCGAAACGAAAGAAAGTCATATTTCATCAGGGGGTCACCCCTCGGACAAAGAAAAAATATATTATTATTCAGATTACCTGTTATCTGGAATTGTAATAAGCCTTTTTGGAATAAATGAGCAAAATATGTAACTAAATAAAACGAAATTATGAATAATAATTTTCGTTAATTAAAAAAACGTAATTCTAACGAGGCATAAGAAATACTTGAAACTTTTATATAAAGTATTTAACAATTATCTGGATGACGGTTAAGTATTCTAGGACTATCTGCTGATGGTAAGGGCTGCTCACAAGTGTCGAAAGGTAAAGCCACTGAATATTTCGATTTAGGTTCATATCCCGAAGTACGGGGTAACTGCATAAGAATTTTTGCAGTCTTTCCCTGCATGAGAATTTTCGCGGTGACGGGGAACCAGTCAGTTTCCGATAGAAAATCTTCCACTAAGGCATTCCTCCTCATAGTCAGATAGCCCTCGAGTTGCACTGATTGCTGTTGTTTCAACTTAATAACTTTACATTCAGTTTGATGAAAACTTTCATGGTCTTCAATGTTGTTTTGTGAAAATATGTTTAAACTATGCATCAAGTCTCCAAAACATTCTTCCCACCAGCGGCCGAGCAGTAAAGTCGCTGGACATTGGTAGTTTGGTCCGAGGTTCGAATCCCGCGAATGGGCTGGCTGCATGGGTGTTTTCGTGGTTTTCCCCATGTGTAACGTGTATACGAGCCAGTTTCCCTTAGAAAGTCCTCCGCGAAGGCATCCCTCCCCTTAGGCAGATAGCCCTAGTGTGCTTTGCCGTAATTAAATACACCACCACACCAAAACATTCTTTTTAGAAAGAAATTTCTTCAGAGTCGTTAAATATCTTGCTCCAAGCAACAAATTGTAATCGCCTTTCAAAAAATTGATCGAGAATCTGAAAAAAAATTTAAAGCAATTTTTTCCTGTAACTGGTGGGCCAAATGATGGGATTTGAAATGAGGCTGCAATGGAATTTGCGGAACACGTACTTCGCTCTCTAGGGAAATAAGTAGCTAACATCTCTGTGTCTTCTTCATTGACAGACACCAACTGAATTTATTTATTTCTAAGGAGCAGTAATATTATTGTAGTTTGGGAAAAAGTTTTAACAAAAAATATATTCTCTTGCTGCAGAATAAATAATTTTCATCCCCTCGCGAGTCTGAATGAGGTCTAATAATATGAATTAAAGGGGACCGAAATAATCTGACGTAGTTGGCGAAGTGATCTACTATCCAAATGTCCTGCTAAAGAGGTTAAATTTTATTAAAAATCTGATGTGTACACCACATGACTTGCTTGTACGCAATATTAAATTATACGCATATTTTCCAGCATTTCATTTAAACTTATTTCCTCGAATTTCATTAGATATATATTTTTCATTCAATTAACTCAGATCTCACTTCGCGGCAAGGCAAAAATGCATAAAAACTCAAATTACCTTCGTTAAAAAGTGAAAGATATAGAAAATATAAAACATCAAATACAGTTAAAACAATTCAAAAAACAATTTTTAGAATTAAAATTACAGTTTCTATGCAAAAGCAAGCAATTTGTCCAGCAGACAAGAAGGCAGACTTTTCTGTGCACAAAACTAAAGTTTCGTTTCGGTCCCTCTCGGCGAAAAGCTCTGAAGGTGCAGAAAGCTTTAATTCACTAGTCTACTGAGTTTCAAATGTAAATAAACATGGCTGCAATAGTAAAAATAAATTAAGCTTCGCCGCACTTAAACAACTTTTTAATTGTTGATAATTCTGCAACTATTGCATGAAGATTAACTAAAGTCTTAAAAACCTTAACCGGAAGATAAGAACAACATAATTCAATCATTTTTAAAGCAAAAAATGCACAATTTACTAATATATAAGGGAAATCACTGAAACGAGTAACAGAGTGGGTATATATATATATATATATACACTTTTGGTGCCGCTGATTGCGAAAATGGAGGTACACAACTACATGTTATAGCAGTCCTATATACAAAATTTCAACGATATGACTCGGTTTTGAGTTATGCGAGATACATACGTACGTACAGACGCCACGAAAAAGTCCCTTCTGAATCCATTTTAAATCAGTTTCATAATTAATTCTTTTGGGGAAAAAGAGTTCTTTATTCTCTGTCCTTACGTATCGAAGTCACGCAAAAACATCGTTAAATGGCATTTGATAGCGGTCAAAATGGGTATTTTCGTTGACATATGACACCCGGAATTTTTTGTGATTACAATACGTCCTTTACTTCGTACAAGGAAGTAAAAAACCACCAACTTGAGAAAAAAGTTAAATACCATATAATTTACTCTATCAAATCTTTTTATAGTTTTAAAATTTTCCCTCATCTTATGATGCAGCTTTCTGCTTTATTCTATTTTATCTTTTCCAGAATACTTACATATATTTTTGTTTCTTGCCTGATATTTTGAACTATTATTTCATCTATGCAAAATCAATGTTTCCAAATCTATTACACATACTACTTACTGGGTAGGCTTGAGCTCTAAAGCTTTATAGCTTTAAACTTTTCCATCAGACAATAGCCGCTTCATTAAACACATAATGGAATCGACCTTTTCAACATTCAAAGTTCTTACTGAAACAAAAATTTAAAAAAGTGTGCTTTTATAAGCATTGTCTATGGATACACTTTAATATATATATTCCCCTTAGATTAAGTTTCTGATAGCTTCCTTAGCTACTTGTAGACATGATTCAAAAAACAATACTTGCACGAATAATTTTCCATAAATCAAGAATGATAATTTAACAGGTGCTTGGAAAGTGCTTAGAAATAACCCTTTTGAACGCAGTTTCTTTGAAAGACTAAAGTGATTCTGCTAGTTTATAAACTTAGGCTTAATTTAGTAAAGTTTAACACCTCAAACCCAAGCATGTTATACACTAATTTTGGGATCAACAAAGCTCTCATTATTTTTCTTTTCTTTATCTACGTTTTTAATCAAATTTGGTTTAATTGCCTTCCATGTAAGATCTCAAATTTGAACTGACTACTTTAAAAATTTACTTTAATTTATTGCCATTTTGTAAAATTTTTGTAGTTAATGTTACAATGTGCTGCTAGAATTTTTGAATTGGTAAGACTAAAATACTTTTGAATGTCATGGCGCATTTAACTCTCTATAAATATTTGTGTATAAGAAAAAAAGCTGAAATAACTTTATTTTATTCTCATAGAAGCGGTAATTTTAGCCATTGGTAGCAACACCGAAGCACTTCAAGTATTCACTCGTAATGATGATACAGATATTTTCTCTGAGAAAAATGTAGATACTTTGGTTCCCAAGTTGAAATCCAGAATTTGTAAAGGTAAGATTGACCACTCACTATATTCTTTACCTCTTTTGCCATTCTTCAAATAAATAAATAAGTAAATAAAAGAAAAATTTACGGGTAGTTTGTGTTTATTTCAATTACGAGCTAAATATTAAGCAGAAGTAAATTTACTTCTATGGGTTATTTAAGGAATCAACGAAAATTCCTCTTTTGTAGCAAGTAAACTCATCAAGGCTGTAAAATAATAACTTGTGCAATTCTAAGTTAAAAGCTCTTTAGACACTCCTAGACTGTCAAGCTAATTATCGCTCCGTCTGTAGAAAGTAAGGAAAAGTCATATGAAAGTTTTAACTAAATCTTTTTATTAAAGCTTGAACTTAAGAAGGCACATCTTGTGCGTACAAACAAACACCGCCGATTGCGGTGATTAAATGATAGAAATTTTTAATTGCAATTAAAATTGAATTCATAGACTGGGACTACTCAAATCTGCCTAACTATGGCTCAAAGCGTAGACGGATCGAGAACATTCTAGAACGAATTCTTACCGGTTTTCCCCAGAATGCTCTCGAAGGCAGAGCAAAAGCTATAATACCCTGCCTGTACGCGGAATAGCAGTGTATTGAGAGTACATTGAGTTCAGTAGAAGTGTTTTGAGTTCAAAGGATAGCTTGAGAGCGACCGAGTCGGGAGATGTACTTTAGCATTTTGCCGTGAATCTGTCTTCACCGTTATAGTCTAAAGGCTGTATTGCTGATTGTTTCAGCTTGTTTATCGTAGTTTTACGACGACTGTAAACGTGTCTTTGGAACTCTCCTCTATAATACTGACGAATAAATTGAGTTTTGATTCTTCAACAAGTGTTGTCATCAATCACTCCAAATCAACGAACCCGTAGAATGCAATAATATACACGCTCTTCTCTTACTTTTTTGTTTCATTAAACGTCACCTCTTCATACTTTGCAGGAATTTTCATCATAATTTTTCCTGTTTATCAACAGTTTCTCCATTTCTTGTAAAACGCCATTTAATATATTTTGAGGGATTTAAGTGAAAGATAAACAACTTTAAAGAAGCATGTTCTGCACATTTCCGTAAATCAAATTTAGTCTCTTTCTCTAATATCTTTTAAACTGATACTTTTGCATATGATTTTGCTTTTAATTTAATCGCAACTATAAATTTACTCCATTTATTATTGAATTATTATGAAATGAAGTGAATATGAAATAAATTTTAAATTAGAGTATAACTGCATGAACCATATTTGACACTTTGTTGTAACGAATAATTCGCTTCATTTCGAAACATGACCAATTTTCAATACCTTCGTATTCCCTGATTGATATTTTAGCTGCAATTTTAATTATAACTCAGGGGTAAAGAGTGATTACTTTCACTAGAATTTTTATGGCATAAAACATTTTATTTTATAAAACTTTCCACAGTGCTGCTTCATACAGAAAATCCAAATCACTCTTCAAACAGGTACAGAAGCTCGCTTACTATTAGCGTGCATAGCGATTAGTGGGGTTATGAAGATATATATATCTTAAAATAACTTAAATTGCAGGATTAACAAGCATAAATCACTTATAAAAAATTTTAAGTTACAATCCAATTTAAAATTTTCAACAGAAAAAGGCAGAATAAAAGCACTTCCTTCCTCATAATTTTAATTAAATTGAGATTACTATTCTGGATATCATTTCAAAAAAAGATAGACTGTTTAAGGAATCGCTTTTCGTACTGAAGAATAGAACACTTACTCCATATGAGCTAAACAACTATATTCAAAAATGGCCACAAAAATAAATGTATTGCACTTTCACTTGATACTTTGTACCTTACTTTATTCATTTCAAAATTGAGAAAAATCACTTAAAATTTCATCAAAATTAGTTTCCTTTATTTCAGTTTTGATAAAATTTTATTTACTAAAATTTTTACAAATGCTAAACGTTTTTCTTGCCAAAAATTAGGCGTTTTTCTGGCTGCATGGGCGTTTTTGTGGTTTTCCCCATGTGTAACGTGTATACGAGCCAGTTTCCCTTAGAAAGTCCTCCACGAAGGCATCCCTCCCCTTAAGCAGATAGCCCTCGTGTGCTTTGCCATAATTAAATACAGCACAGCACAGCACAGCAAATAAAATAAGATCATTGGTAACGTAATCATCAGCTACCACTAATAATGTACAAAAAACACATTATTACTGTCAATCTACAAATATCTGAAGATCAAGCTGTTAATGATATTATGTAAAAAGGAACAAACTTCAGGTCACTTGCTAATTTCAATAAAATTTCTTGCCTTAAAAATATGAAAGACGGCATTGATGAATTCGTTTTTTAAACCAGCTGCAAGCCCAGATTTCCCGCTAAAATTTACTTGGAATGGAAAAGAAAAGTTGTGTACTGAGAAGCTTAACCAAACCACTTTAAAAGTTTGAATTAAAGAGCTCAATTTACGTTGTAGAACTAAAGAACTCAAAAGTAAATTTGTCATCCTCTGACAAAGCCAGTATCAACTTTAGCATTATTTTCAATACATTTTATCACGAGCTTATTGAACAAAAGCTTCATCATCCTCTTACATATAAAAGTGCTCGTTCTACTGAAAAATCCATACTGAATAAAATATTTGCTTTGCATAAAAAAATTAAACTTCCACATAAAGCAGATATAATAGATTCTTCATCCTCTACACTGTACCTACATTTCATAAAAAAAAAAAAAAAAAAAAAAAAAAAAAAAAAAAAAAAAAAAGGTATAATTTAGCTTCTTTGTCAACGGGACCCAAAAGCCACTGACATTGTTTCTGCTCAACAACTTAAAAATATTTTCAGTAAATTAACTGAAAAATCAGTAAAAATGTCAATTTCTGCTAGATTATTAATAATAATGAAAAAGTAATTAATACCCTAAAAACATTCTAGTTAACTGTTACGACTTCAAAAATCTCTATACCACACTTCCATTTAAAGAAATTTACAATAACTTGCTGGATTACCAAAATATTTGCCATAAATTTTTGAAACCCTTTCAAGCAAGGAATGGAAAGACTTTCTGCACCTTATTTCACAACTTTGTTAAATTTAATGTTAATATTTTCCAGCAGACTAATAGATGTCCTGTAGGAACAAGTTATTCAACACAAATTTGCAACGTTTACATTTTTGCCAAGAAATCTGAGCTTTTACAAAAAAAAAAAAAAAAAAAAAAAAAAAAAAATGATGATTTCAGGAAAAATAAATTTCATTTCATTTGCAGGCACTGATGATATTATTTTCATTACCAATAATGGATATCCAGGGTGGAAAGCAAAATTTACCGTATTTGCTAAAACTTAATAAACCAGGAACTAACGGATTACAATTTTTGATAAAAGGAGACTTTTTAAATTCACTGCCAATAAACTTATCCACTGGCATTCCAATATATCTAAAAAAATTTAGCTAATACTGTAATTAACCAAGTACCCACTTCTAACTGTAACTGCGAAAATGCACTGTCCTATACTTTCAAAATGCCTACAGCACCTTATTTCCTTATTTTTTCATATTTTGGTAGTAACATTTTGACGCTAATTGTTTATAATTATAATTATTATAATTACTGAACAGTTTTAGTTTTAAAAAAATGCTTTATTTGTATTTTGCATATTTTTACGACGTTCCGTTTTTCAATTTAAGATTAAACTTTTGCTTTATTGCCAAAGTAATGGCTGTGTTTAACTTTGAATTTTTCTATTTCATTTTTAATAAAATCTAGAAACTTAGAGGATAGGTTTTATGAGTGGCCTAGAAAGTCTTTTAATAACATAGAAAAATTTTGGAGCCCTCGGACGGAAACGTTTTTAAGTGGGACTGATTAAAATTTTTATGTTTGACCTCCCCTCTCAATGAAGTATAATATCTAAGCATTTTATTACGTTACATTTTTAGCTAGATTTCTCCCCAAATTTAGCCCAACGTTTACATTTTCAAAATCCTTCATATCAAGCTTCCTTCATTTTCGGGTCAGTGAAATTACCTTTACGTAAATATATATTGGTTTTATTTTCATTTATATTTTCTCATGCATTTTAATGATTACCATTTTTTTCTTGGTCTTTTGAAGTGTAGATTTATTTATATATATGTGTGTGCGTGTGTTCGGTGTGTATGGTGTGTAAGTCGAACCAGTATTAGAGAATTATGCACTTTATACGTGTACATTACAAAGTTTTACATGTTTAAGATAATTGCGCAATAGTCTGAGTCAGACGCAACTCTGAGTTTTCAATAAAATATATATTTTCTACACCTACGTATGAGACACAAAATGGATATTAAATTTGTAGATACATTTAGAACAAAATATAAATTCGACATATCATTTGTTTTTTGCGTACGTTTAAAGGTTTATAAAATATGCCACTGCGCTTAAATATACTTAGTTGTTAGTGACTCTGAGTACTGTAACGAAGGGCCAGAGTTCGAATCCCGGAGAAGGTACAAATGTTGTAAATGTATAGTGTTTGTCCGGCATGGGGTTACTCTAAATATTAGCAGAGCCTTAAGTTCTTTCGTAAGATTTGAGGACAGGGATAGAGGGGTGGCAGACCCTAAGACCGCTTCCCTGGGAGCTCTCACTCAAAACTGGGGAGGAATTGGGCAAAATCATATTGTCATCTTATATGGTATCCAAGGCTCTTGCCAACAACAGACGCAAACTTTTACCACCATAAAATTCGCGGGCTTGTTCTGATTAGGTTAGACAAGTGAGATTAGTCACGACAATAAACAAATTCTTTTGCAGTTTAGCAACTTGAGTGAAAGCTATACATTAAAACACCTTTTCCAGAGAATTTTGACATCAGTTTTATCTTATATACTATTGCTTTTTAACCAAAGTAATTTTGTGCATTTTCTTGAGGATAATCACTTACTTTTACAACTTCTGTTATCTCTTCCACAGTACCCGCAGAGTTTCAGTTCAAGAAATGCGAATCGAAGAGTCGTGGAGTTGATACCAAGCAGCTGATTTTTATTCCAGCAAATAAGATACAATACTGGGCCATGTATCCCAAATACTTTTTGAAAAGTTTAAGTATTTCTCTGAAGGTAAGATCTGATTTTGTCTATTAGACTTCTCACGTACAACTAGTACCAGAAAACTGTCTATGTACTATTTTCATAAACTAAATTTTTTAGAACTTAAATTATAATTCTGATATAGAAGCTAAAATTATGTACTTAGTATTATGATCTAATTTCATTAAAAATATTGAGAAGAGAGGCTATGGGCTGGAAAATTTGGATGTTTCCGACGAACATTTCTTGGTAGGTCGTTATGACTACATTTTTAGAAAAGTAGTATGGATATTACGATAGCAGTGAAATAAATATTCTTAAACATACGGAAGTAATTTAATTTTTATTAATACTTAACAGTCGCATTCGGTAGGACGCAGTAGTATTTGTGTATATCATGGTAGTAGTGAAATACATATTTATAATCATATGGAAGAAATTTAATTTTTGCTATTATGTCTTGAGTATTTGGCAGCTCTTTTTCAGAAAGTTGCAAGGATATATACCAGACAAGAAAATAATCTCATAGTTTCTTATGCGTAAAATAAGAAAGAATGTTCAATGCAACACTTGAATTAAGTGACTAAGTTCGATGGAACACTTGTAAGAATTAATATTCAATGTAACACTGAATTTTCCGGCACTAATAACCTTGTAAGTCTTTACCAGCTCTTGAATGGAAATAATGTCATCACGACACTAACAATCAAAGAAGCCATTCTCTAGATCTTGAGTTTTGCAACTATGTCATAATTTTTTGTTTCTTATCATGATGTGACTGATGTTAGCATTGTAACATTTGGACACTTAATAACCTTCAGTAATTATTGTAATAATTATCATTTCAGTTCCAACCAGAGGAGGGTGCTCAAATAAAAGTTTGCTTTTCGAGAAACTACTACAGAATAATTGAAGATCGAACTCAGTATGTAGAATGTCAAGATTCTAGCGGTGAGTCTAAAATACAACTTCAAGATCAAAAGCGAGTCAAAAAAAAGTGGTAACCATTAACCGTTTTACTCTCATTAATAATGGTTAATGGTAAAAATTTAGTGTTCATAATGTTTAACACTTTCATAGTCAGTTTTTACATGTGCTGCTTCAATATTTTTGAGAATTGACGCATATTCTAAAAATGAATCTTCATAACGTCCCGAACAGGTGTCTCAGACATTAGCTACTGCTTGCAGTTCCTCTGAGGCTTCTTCGATATTAAAAGCCCCATTTTCGAAAACAGTTTTAGACTGATTTTAAGAGATTAACCCTCTACATTTACTGAAATATACCTGATCTATAGCAATTATATCGACTTATTTACCTCTTTCGAGGTGCGTTTTCACAAAATTCAATTAATTCTGCTCATAATTTTCTGAATATCTTTTCTGTAATGACATTCGAAAACTTTTATAATACTCTTTTCTAAAGGCTAAAAGTTAGGAGTTGTTAAGACAACAAATAACACGCCGAATAAATACTAATTCAGAAGTCAAACAACAAAATCAGCGTTAATTTACAAAACTTTCACAGGACTAGTTTCGATGGTTTTACCGAACCATCATCTTCAGCTGCAAAACCGCAAATGAACAAGATAGGAAATAATGTTTAGATAAGATAAGAAAGCCTGGACAAGAATAAGCAAGTGGCGCCATCTGTTGGCGAAACCAGAACTAAAACATAATTTCTCTAAAAGCCGAAGGCAAATTTGGATTGGAATTAGGATCGTTAACTAGAACAGAAAGATTTTTATGAATGTGAAATGCCTCTAGAAAATCCAGTTCTCCAATGGAAGATGTTTTTTGAATAATTTTGGCAGCAGAAAAATTGAAAGTGTGATTTTCGGACCAACAATGTTGAGCAACAGAAGACTTCTGTGTTTCCTTTTTTCTAACATATGCCTCATGTTCTTTGACGCGAAATTTTAAGGCTCTCTTAGTTTGGCCAATGTAAATTAAACCGCACTGGCAAGGAATCCTATAAATACCCCAGGAAAATTCATATCCGGAATGGGGTCCTTGAGTATAGAAGTTGGAATTTTATTGATGGGAGAGTAAACAACCCGAAAGTTAAATTTCTGCAAAATATGTGCAACTTTATAGCTAATTGATGGAAAGAAGGGAATGACAACAGAATTTTTATAATCTCCTAAAATAAGAGTGTGGCTTTTAGTGTGTTGAGATGAGAATTTTTTTAACTGCTTGATTAATAATGTTGGGTGAAAAGCCCCTGTCAATAGCTATTGCTTTTAAATAATTTAGTTCTTCATCAAGGGCTAGTTTGGAGGAGCAAACTTGAAGAGCACGGAAAACATAGGAATAAAATGAAGCTAACTTTTGTTTAGTCGGATGACATGATTTAAAGTGTGGTGGAAGGCAAACCGATGAAGGTTTACGGTAAACTGTAGTACTGAAGTTTCTGAAACTGTAGTACTGAAACTTCAGTACTACAGTTTACCGTAAACCTTCATCGGTTTGCCTTCCACCACACTTTAAATCATGTCATCCGACTAAACAAAAGTTAGCTTCATTTTATTCCTATGTTTTCCGTGCTCTTCAAGTTTGCTCCTCCAAACTAGCCCTTGATGAAGAAACTAAATTATTTAAAGCAATAGCTATTGACAGGGGGCTTTTCACCCAACATTATTAATCAAGCAGTTAAAAAATTCTCATCTCAACACACTAAAAGCCACACTCTTATTTTAGGAGATTATAAAAATTCTGTTGTCATTCCCTTCTTTCCATCAATTAGCATAAAGTTGCACATATTTTGCAGAAATTTAACTTTCGGGTTGTTTTACTCTCCCATCAATAAAATTCCAACTTCTATACTCAAGGACCCCATTCCGGATATGAATTCCTGGGGTATTTTATAGGATTCCTTGCCAGTGCGGTTTAATTTACATTGGCCAAACTAAGAGAGCCTTAAAATTTCGCGTCAAAGAACATGAGGCATATGTTAGAAAAAAGGAAACACAGAAGTCTTCTGTTGCTCAACATTGTTGGTCCGAAAATCACACTTTCAATTTTTTCTGCTGCCAAAATTATTCAAAAAACATCTTCCATTGGAGAACTGGATTTTTCTAGAGGCATTTCACATTCATAAAAATCTTTCTGTTCTAGTTAACGATCCTAATTCCAATCCAAATTTGCCTTCGGCTTTTAGAGAAATTATGTTTTAGTTCTGGTTTCGCCAACAGATGGCGCCACTTGCTTATTCTTGTCCAGGCTTTCTTATCTTATCTAACATTATTTCCTATCTTGTTCATTTGCGGTTTTGCAGCTGAAGATGATGGTTCGGTAAAACCATCGAAACTAGTCCTGTGAAAAGTTTTGTAAATTAACGCTGATTTTTGTTGTTTGACTTCTGAATTAGTATTTATTCGGCGTGTTATTGTTGTCTTAATTATAGAAGCCCCAAACAGGCTTACATTTTGCTTTCTTTTTTGCACGGTGTGGCCGCCATTTTGTGATTGTAGGAGTTTCGGTGAGTACATTTTTGCAATTTTCAAGTTATGTTTATGGATATTGTGCTTTGCTTGTCTGATTTCATGCATTTTGCTTACAAACATTTTGTTTTCTATTCATTTCAGTGAGGGATTTTTCTGCTATTTTGTGTGTACTTTATTATTGCTCAGTTAATTTAGTTTGATTTTTCTGCATTGTTTATCATGCCTTCATCCGTTAATCGTTTCACTAAATTACGCCTGAAACGGCAAAAATTCCTGAATCATCTTGACTTTTTACTTAAATGTAAAAATGTAAAAAATTGATCCCCAATTTTATTCAAATCAAATCTAATCAAAAACCTTCGAGTCGCGTTTCAAGAATTCTGTTAAATTGCAAACTTGCCTTACTTCGGTCCGTGATAAGGGATACACGTCAACAATTGTCCAAAATTGAACATGAACTCTATAAGCTTCATCTGGAACTCGCTAAAACATATCCAAAATTCACTGCCCTTGAACAAAAGTCTTGGTCTAGAACGGAGAATGCAGTTAACCGTCATAAAAACACCCTTGTAGTTAAATTCGAAAAACTACTTTTACAGTCTTCCAGTTCAAGTAGTTCAAAAAATCTTCCCATTGTAAACATCAAGCCAATAGTTAATATTTCTAATGTTAGTCTTTCAGAAGAACAAGAGAGAATTCTAAAATATAATTTTAACTTCTCACAAACCTGTAAAACCCTCGATTCCAAAGATTTTTGGCTCCTATCGAAAAAGCTTTCAAGTTCAGTAAAAGTTTTCAGATTCACAGAAAGAAATGATTAGGCATCTTATCGCTCATAATGTGAAATTCAATAATAAACCTTTGAAACCAAATCTGACTGCGAGAGAAAGAGCTACAATGCGCGAGATTCATTCTAACCCGGATATTGTCATTTCAAAGGCCGACAAAGGTGGCCAGATAGTCGTCATGGATAAGAACACTTACATCGATGGTGTCACTAAACTCTTAAACGAAGGACCATATAATCCGATCCCTAAAGATCCTTCACCTTCGGACTTATCCAAAATAAAAACTGCGATCAAATCTTCGCAAATCATTTCAAGCAACTTAAAACATTCGCTTATTATCCCATCTGTTGCGAATTGTGCCAGATTATATGCTCTTCCCCAAAATTCATAAAAGTGGTATTCCTTTCCGCCCTATTGTATCAAATTTAGGTACTGCCCTCGTATCCATTAGCTAAATATTTAGTTTTCTAGATTTTCCACTCTATTAGACAATAACATTTACACCATAAAAAATTCAATAGAGTTTGTAAAAAAGGTTAAAAACATTTTTCTCCTCGTAATTTACTCATGGTTTCTTTTGATGTAAAATCATTATTCACCAATGTCCCAGTGGAGGGTGCATTAAGATGTCTAGAAACCAGACTTCGCGAATTTCATTTCTCTTGCATCGAAATTGATGAGCTAATTTCTCTCACCAACTCTGTTTGAAACAAACACATTTTGTTTTCCAAAATAAATATTACAAGCAACTGAGGGATTAGCCATGGGAAGCCCCCCTCAGTCCCATCCTGGCTGATATCTACATGCATTATTATGAATCAAAATTGTTTGAAACTTTAAACTTCCCGGCATGGTTCCGCTACGTAGACGATACTTTTACCCTGTTTGAAGGTAATAAAGATGATTTAAATAGAGTTCTTTCAACAATGAATTCTATTGATCCTGCTATTCAGTTCACTTTTGAACTTGAGACTTGCAATTCTCTTCCGTTTCTCGACATTCTGGTCACACGTAACACATCCAACTTCAGTACTACAGTTTACCGTAAACCTTCATCGGTTTGCCTTCCACCACACTTTAAATCATGTCATCCGACTAAACAAAAGTTAGCTTCATTTTATTCCTATGTTTTCCGTGCTCTTCAAGTTTGCTCCTCCTCCAAACTAGCCCTTGATGAAGAACTAAATTATTTAAAAGCAATAGCTATTGACAGGGGCTTTTCACCCAACATTATTAATCAAGCAGTTAAAAAATTCTCATCTCAACACACTAAAAGCCACACTCTTATTTTAGGAGATTATAAAAAATTCTGTTGTCATTCCCTTCTTTCCATCAATTAGCTATAAAGTTGCACATATTTTGCAGAAATTTAACTTTCGGGTTGTTTACTCTCCCATCAATAAAATTCCAACTTCTATACTCAAGGACCCCATTCCGGATATGAATTCCTGGGGTATTTATAGGATTCCTTGCCAGTGCGGTTTAATTTACATTGGCCAAACTAAGAGAGCCTTAAAATTTCGCGTCAAAGAACATGAGGCATATGTTTAGAAAAAAGGAAACACAGAAGTCTTCTGTTGCTCAACATTGTTGGTCCGAAAATCACACTTTCAATTTTTCTGCTGCCAAAATTATTCAAAAAACATCTTCCATTGGAGAACTGGATTTTCTAGAGGCATTTCACATTCAAAAAATCTTTCTGTTCTAGTTAACGATCCTAATTCCAATCCAAATTTGCCTTCGGCTTTTAGAGAAATTATGTTTTAGTTCTGGTTTCGCCAACAGATGGCGCCACTTGCTTATTCTTGTCCAGGCTTTCTTATCTTATCTAAACATTATTTCCTATCTTGTTCATTTGCGGTTTTGCAGCTGAAGATGATGGTTCGGTAAAACCATCGAAACTAGTCCTGTGAAAGTTTTGTAAATTAACGCTGATTTTTGTTGTTTGACTTCTGAATTAGGAGTTGTATTTGCAAGAAGCGACGATAATATTTTCCAGAAAGAGCTCAGAGGTATACGTGCTTCATAATTACCTCATTAGTAAAATTATTTTTCGGTTCGCGGTCTCATTTCAAATACAATCAGAAAAATACTTATAGACATGCACAAATTCTTCCTGTGGAAAGTTAAAGGCAAAGCTTGACTCCCTTCAAACCTCGAAGTTTTCAGCTTTTGTCAATAATCAATACTGTCTTTTAACTGCTGCTTCCTTACTGCACGTTAATAATATAGCAATTCCTTCTTTCAGCTTCTTAAATCACCTGCTGTTTCAATTTTAAATATTAATGTGCCCTTTGATAATGCTCTGTAACGCAATTCCGTTCCGTCTGTATTATAAACTTCGTGTGACATGTATTCGTTTAGCAGCCCAAATAAAACGCTTTTTATTCACATATCAGCCTCAAGATTATCTGCCTCTTTATTCTTACAAAGCAGTTTCTGCCGAACAATACTGGATTTCTCTTTCTTCAACTTAGAAATACACAACTCAATTCAATTCAGTACAAAAATCTTTGATACAAATTCCTCTCCTAGCATTTAGTGAATTAATGAAAAATGATCTAGAAATAGAAACGCTGCCAAACCGGGATAGTGTTTAGCGACGCTGATTGCCGTACCAAAGGGCCAGGGTTCGAATCCCGGAGAAAGCACGGATGTTTGTAAATGTATAGTATCTGTGTGCATGGGGGCACTCTAAATATGCGGCGATCCAATGGCCTCTCGAGAGGTTAATGGAAGGGGAAGAGGGGTGGCCGACTCTTGAATACGTCCCCCCGGGGTGCTGTCCGTCAAAATTTGGAGGCGGAACTAAGCAAAGTAGTACTGTCACCTGTATGGTGCTCAAGGCTCTTGCCAACGACAGACGCAATCTTGCGCTCCTTGCCACGATAAATTTTGTGGGATTGTCCTGATGTTAAAGTCAGACAAGTGGGAAAAGTCACGGTAACAACAACAAGAAATAGAAACACTTTTTAGTTTTATAGCTTGAAACTGTTGTAGAAAAGCAGTTTCAAAATCTCACGGTTTTCTGTTTTCTTTTTTTAGCCTTCCTCGAGACATTTTCACTTCTTACTAGCTGTTACCCAGCAACCGTTGCAAAGCTACTTAAAGGAAAGAAAGTGTTTGTGTTTTAATTCTGCTTATTGAAATGCTTTTGGATACACAACTTTTTTTGTTTTTCCATCTGGCGCGTACGCGAATAAACCGGAATAAACACGTGAGCTGGCCACATACAGCTGCCCATGTAAAAAGCATAGATTTTTCAAATTTTAGTCCATAAACTGGTAACGATTGTCTCTGTGTTTTGTTAATCGCCATTGCAAACGTTAAAATTCGAATGCATATCTGTCGGAATCATTGGGATACGTGGCTGTTAGTTCAGTATAAATGCAGTTTGTCTCTGGCAGCAATTACCAAGAACATCAAATTGTTTTAACAATTTATCCTTTTCTGTCAGGCTTAAGTCTTTTCTTTAGGCATTTTCGACATGTTGCTAGTTAAGAACACTACAAGTTAAAGAAATATACTTCTTCCAAGTGGTCCATTCAAAATTCAAAACTTGCATTCATGGCCAGCAAAAACATTGCCCTTTGTCTGTTTAATTGATCTGTCACTTCATGATTAAAAAGCACGATCAATACTTTCTTTGGTTTTTTTTTTCAGGCTATATTTATCACTTTCTTTTCATTCGAAACTGTTAATGTACGATCATGCTAAGAAGCATTTCATGAAATTTTCTAATACTCTCTGTGAACATTATGTATCTATCCCAAAGGGAAAATTTTGAAAGTAGAAACCTTTGAACATGGGATACAAAAGTTGTACTTCCACCTCCCATCAACTGGTATTTAAGAAGGAACCCCGTTTATTTACAAATTCTCTAGAGCAGTAATTCTCAAACTTTTTTGCCACATGCACCTCGTTCACCAATACTAGACAATCATTCCCACTTCATTTCCAAACTCCAAAATACACATACATTTATTTAAATTTAAATTACTTTAATGCATTTTATAAATTAAATGATAAAAAGTATAGAAAAAAATTGATAAATACCAAAGAGTGAAAAAAGTATCTTTTTATATTAACAAACTAAAGCTAAATAGTTGTCAGGTAAATTAAAGGTTGATCTCTTCTCCTTGAAAATATCGAATGCCTTCCGGAGAAAAACCCCCTCCCCCTGGTTGAGAACCCCTGCTCTAGAGGATTGTTTGTTTGTTTTTAAGATAACGAAGTTCATCCCCTTTGTAGTCCATAGGACTCTGAAAGCATAATCCCACTGTTACGAGGACCGAGGGATAGGAAACATTATGTCATATTCGTTTTATTGAAGCATTACATTCCTGATTGAGAAAGCCGTTGTCCACAATACATTTAAATGGATGAACCATGAAAAGTTTGTATAGGTACAAATGGGTAATCTCACTCTGAAGAATCAGTCTTTTAATAAGCGGCGGAAATAATTTAATAAACGGCTGTTTTTCTATTGTATATATGCGTTTTGGTTCCTGGAAATTTCAACGTCGTTCAGTTTATTAAACAGTAAGTTTAATAAGCGGTATCTCTCTTATAACTAAAAGCCCAAATTTACTCTAGTGTTCCTTGAAAATTTTAGAACTTGAAAAACGTGTTCCTCAATGAGTAAAGTTTGGAAAATATTAGTCTAGAGGCAATAGAGGTGGTGGAGGTGTTACTTCCACAGGTGGCGGGATTGTTACCAGCAATAAAAAATTATCAGGCGTAAATATCTAAATAACAAATCTACATTTTCCCGACAAATATACAAAACTGGCAAGCAATAATCTTGAGATGAGTAACATATGTAAATGAAGCAGTAAAAAAGCTATTTATTCTGAAGACATTATTTTTCATATTTCTTTCATCTTTTACGTTCCTAACGTTTACTTAACTACATAAACCAGAAACAGCCAAATATCCCGTAATTTTTATCTCAGAAATTAAATGTCCCAAAGATTAGAAATTTAGATCGGAATCTTTAAAACTTCATTTAATTCCATTTTGTATCTCTAATGGATTTCGTAAAAGGTGAATGTTTAAGTTTGGATGAGTAAAATTGAAAATTTTAAAATTACTACTGCATATTTTGTGTAGATGATTTTGTAACTAGTTGAATGAAATTCAGTCTGAAGGACTGTTTCCATTGCTCATTTAATTAAACATTAAATACAATTTTAAAAGTGAAAACATTTTACTTTTTATAAAAACACTTGTTTTCCTATTTAGATATATTTTATGTTCCAGTGGTTATCGCTAATCATAAAAACATAATATTTGTATTTTATTTCTCGCTTGGATCGCTTAGTAAATATTTAATGAATAAATCGAGAAATAATTATTTGTTATTAACAAAATTGTTTCTGGCAAAATAATTTTTCTTCCAGGAGAAAGAAAACCTTTATCCCTCGAAGTGCATTAATTTTAATTTTTATTTAAACTATCTCAAATAGAGATTTAATTTTACCATGTGTATATTACTTCCACATTTGATCTCATTGAGTGCATACTGAAAATTTGCTTTTAATTTTTTTAGGTGCCGAAATTGAATTCAGAGTCAGCAATCCATGCAAAGGTAAGTTCCTATGCAATCAATTTATACTTTCCCTTCATTAAATGGAATGTATAAAGTGCACAGAACATTTCTTTATGTTCTGTGCACTTAATACACATTTTCGTACAATTGTGTTGGTGTTTATTTAATCCACTTGTGATATACACAACACTATAATGTAAATGTATGCAAAATATTTTTGTATATTTGTTCCTATCCATGATTAATTAATTTCAATACAGTCGCTTTATAATTTTGTGTTTTTACCTATTCATTTTTATTTATTTATTAATACTTATTTTGATTTTGTGCAATTCTTGTGTATTTTGTGTATCTTTTAATTTGAGAATAATAATTTAATTTGATGCACCTAGTTGGTTCATTGTTTTGCAGTATGTTCTGTCCTGAATAAGTAAGTGTTTTAATTATGTAAATAACATAAGAAAAACCGGGTACATGATCTATTATAGTCTATCTAGCTTTGAGACAAATTTATCTGCAATTTGGCGCACTTAAGATTTTAAAGTTAAGAAACGTATTTTCATAAATCCAGGACGTCCAGTCGCTTTTCACTTCCACTTGACAAAAGCACAGTTAGAGGCCTCAGGAACCTCTCGGATTAGTCAGTTTGCTAGCTGGAATTCTGTAGAGTTATTGTATTAAGCGATTTAGTCTGCACTCGATCAGCTAATCTGCAGTAGTGGTACATCTTTTGAACTCTGAAGCTGTGACGTTTAGGCTCAACGGGATGCTGATTTTTTAGGAATTGAATCTAGATATTCATTCCTGTGTTCAAGAAAATTAGTCTTATATCGCTCTGTTCTGGCAGAGCTACCTTTATTTATTTTCATTATCGTAATAATAGTTATATCTTGACCTTGAGCTAAAGATTCAAGTTTCCTCCTATCATCCATCCTGCTTCTACGCGATCCGTCAAACGCTCAAGAATACATAAAAAAGCGTACGTAAAATAATCCAAAAAATGCTTTGTAGGCTTTGACCTTTATCTTTTATGCGTTATTTGCGCTATTGTCAGTGGAAATTATTTTATATTTTAGACTGAACTCTCAAACAAGAGCCGATATTTTAAGGTAAAAAAAATACGGGATGGTTACTTTTATGATGTTAAACATTGTTCCTTATTTGCATAGAATGACAGAATTATTCCATACATCTGCATTTTTCAAGACATTACTGGATGAGTTGTTATTTCCCAGAGCCTGTATCGATGAAAAAGAAAGGGCATTTCATTTACAAATAAAGCAGTCGAAAGTATACACTCTTTTTTTCACCGAAGATTTATTTTCGGTTGTATAAGAGCATTTTATTTTAAGCAATACTATATAAAATTTCTAAAGACTACAACATAAAAGTTCATCGCTTTTTTTAATTTTTTAAATATTTCTCAATTTATTTCAAAATTGTATATTCATTACATTGAAATGCATAAATTCTACGTACTCCTACATTTTCTAAAGTTATTTTACGCTTGTTATGAAAAATATGCACTTGTAACGATATGCGGTTAATAAAATGTCTAAGGGTTTCATTTTCACACAAAAAAAAAAAAAAAAAAAAAAAAAAAAATTTAAATTACTTTTTAAATATTAAAACAGACTTATTATATTAACTATGTAGACATGTCTATAAAAAATTTCAGTTTATTCGTAATACAGCAAATTTTAGGAATCTGAGAAAATTTAGAAATTTTTTTTGAAAATAATACGTCTAACTCTAATGTAATGCTCTTCAATAAATATTTAATTATAGCAATTTTAAAGCAGAAACTGCTCAAAAGTATAAATTGGTAAAAATCTAGCGCACAATTTGAGAAATATCATACCGTTAGTTTAGAAATTGGTTTGAAATCTTTTAACGCCCCTTGAGTTGAGAGATAAATGTGAAAACCTTAATAATTATCTCAAAAAATATTAGTTCTTGAAATGAAACAACACTTGGTAAAATGAAAGGAAAATATTTTGTTAACTTATGTAACCTAATCTAATAGCTTTACATCGCATGAGTCTTACAAGTGGCGTATATGCGTAATATTTGTGAATATTATGCATATAATAATATTATATTATTATAATGTAAATATATGCGTAATATTCATAAATATTACGCCACATATTTACATTCATAACCATGAACATCGTTTTCCTTTGTCCTACTCATGAATATTACTCTTAGTTATCTTTACGCATGAATTTTACTGATGACTTTGTAAGGATTTACTTGCTTTCATCTAACCCGTTATTTTATGTTAAATAGCTTTACTGTCATTTTCCTTTTCCGTTTTCCGGCCAGTATGCAAATTTTAGTTCGCATGTATACAGGTGAGGTAGAAAGAGATTGCATTTAAAGGAAGGTTTTAGATTGTTGAATTAGAACGGCTTCAGCCTGTTGAAAACCACGTTACTATAGTTGAATTTCTTTCGATAGCTGTCTTTCTGCGGCGTTGCCTTGTTCTTGCCTTTAATGCTTGTCACGCCGGCATAAGTTTGAGCCAACTTGCGCATTATTCATTCTGTGCAGCCTTTGGCTAACTTACAAATTAGTTTAAATTTGAATTCATTAAATTTTGAGTTATGCCATAATTTCTGGCTGGTTTTGTGGGCACAAGAAGTTCCTTCTGTTAAATACTGAGTTTTGATAAAAGGGTCTTTTACACCCTTCTTATGTTCTCAATCTGATTACTGGACTAAGCAATAAATCAGTTAGGTTCAGCTTGAGGCTTGAAATTATTTTATGCTTCCCAAGACGTACAACTTTCAAGATTGCGCAACTTTTAAGACTACTTTTTATTTTCGACACTTACCTTATTTACTTTACTTTTTTACTAGCATTATTTTTCAACATTTTATTTTTTATTTTTCTTATTATTTACAAACTGAAATACCAAGAAATAGTTAAATTTCATTTGTGAACTGATTTTTTTCATAAAATCAGAAAAAATAGGGTTGAGACTTTAAATATGAATTCCTTTCCGCTATTTTAAAGAATAGCGGAAAGGAATTCAGTCTGTTGTAAGCGTAAATGGAAGGAATAAAATATTTTAAAGGTGAAACTTCTAAAACCAAAAGTGATCTTAGACGCTATAGCCTTTGGAAATAACTCATCAAGCTTAAATGAAACTTAAAAATGTTTCAAATAATTAAAAAACCTCTAGTATCTGGTTTTGGCTGGATATCTCTTCGCAGTTTTCCAGTTGCCTTCAGTCTTTGATTCCGAGTTCGATTATCTGTATGGTAGTTCTGAATAAACTTGAAGAATTTTAAAACTTTACACCAATGTTTAAATTAAGTGTATTATGCAGAGAAATCCAAAGCAAATAAATCAGGCACAATCATAGTTTAATTTGTATTAGTATTTACAAACCCAAAGAAAAAAAGACACCATTGGAAAATATTATGTTTGCGAATAAGGCATTTCAATCACCAGTCATTTTCATTAGAACATATTTCTCAAAATTAAAGTCAAGCGATCCTACTGGCGTTGCCATTCCATGTACAAATATCTACTCTATGCAAATTTACATTGATCACTATTTGACAGAAAAGAGAATTAGAATACTTCTATTTCCTTGCCACAGATCTGTTTTCATATAAGAGCTGCCGTTTACTTTTTCACATCATGCTTTAAATGTTACAGCACAAATTTCGATAGATATCATGAGAGAAGAAAATGCCTCAGAATTTGAGTTGGATGCTTACACGTTTTTATAATTATTTTCCAGGTCGAAATGAACACAATTGTGATCCTTTTTATTTCTTTGTCGAAGGAAAGAAATCAGGCTCGAACCTTTGCGAAAGTAAGTAGTAACGACTTTTTATTCCTTATCTATACCTTCTAGATTATTTCATTCCGTACTAGTCATAAAAGAAAGCAATAAATGAATTACTTTTCAACGCACTGAAAAACCTAAAAATAAGTTCTTTTCTGGGTGAAGCATTTGCCTCTTATATTCTGTGAAGAGATGCTTGCCACATTTTTAGCACTGAATGAACAGATACTCGTGCAACACAAACTACAAGTAAGTTATTTTGGTGCCCATTCAGCGAAGCAAAATATGTAAGTACCTGCAAAAGATCTATAAGGTATTTTCTGCCTCCTTTCTGCATGCCTCCGTGGTGTAACAATTAGCATACTCGGCGCGTATTCGAGAGTCCAAATTCGAATCCCGGGGAGGGCACTGCGCATTTTCCACTGCTCTAGCATCAAAATACAGTGGAGCCCGAGCTAAAAAGTGGCGGATGATGATTCTCCACCAACAGGATTCGGCGATTGGTCCCCTAATCCCCAGTCGCCCTTAAAAAAAAGAGTATATAACACATTTTCTCCCTCTTTTCTGCATGCCTTCGAGGTGTAACGGTTAGCACACTCGGAGCGTATTCGAGAGGTCCAGGTTCGAGTCCTGGCGAGGAACTTGCTCCTTTTTCTCTTCTCCAGCATTTAAAAACCCTAATGAATCTACAGATCAATAAAATATATGTTCTGTTTTAGCTTGTCTGTTAAATAAATTCACTCTTCATGTAAATCTGCTTGGCTAATTATTGTTAAGACTCATATTAGTATGAACTCGTATTTCTAAGAAATTACGAAAATTTGTTCAAGTCAAATTTCGATTAACAAAAATTACACATAAATTACCTATACTTTGTTGAGTATTCGAGAATGAGTCGATCTCATATCAGAATAAGTTATATGAAATGTGCACTAATCCTCTAGAGAAACTTTAACGTATATTGTTTAACTTCACACTCTCTAACTTAAATCTTCTGCAGATTTCGTAAAATAAAAATAAATTTACATTACTCCCAAAGGGGCGTTTTTTTAACGTTTTGTGGGTTACCTTTATTTATTAAATATCATGTTCTTCGCACTTAAATCATAAAATTCAGTTCAAGAGCAATATTGCAAAATAATTTTTAAATGTGCATATCTTTAGAATTTCCGATACACAGCCTCGCGTGCTGGAGATAATTCCCCCCCCCCCCGTACAGTCTTGCCATTCCTCACTTTGAAATCGTTGAGTTTGTTAATTAAAAATTCGTTAAAGTTTTACAAAATATGAGACAAATAATAAAACAAATTCCAAATCCCAAATTTGGGCTTCCAGATGCCCATATTCGGGTGGAAACGTACGTTATTCAAAATTTGATGGCTCTAGGTACCGTCGTTTTATCACAGTGTGAGAAACATGCATACATTTATGCAGATTCATCATTATTTAATTTCTTTAAATATAATACAGGGCTTTAATATTTGATGACAACAGTGTGAAAAGTGAACCACCGGCATTTAAAGTTTTCAACGCAAAATGCTAAAACGACATTAATAGACCTGCTGGGCTAGAGATTGTATTTCGTTTGGAAGATTTAAAATTAGTGTATTATATTAAAATTCATAATCCTTGTAAATTAAGTATATTATATTAGAATCTAAATCTCTTTAGAAATTACAGAGCTTTTTAAATAAATACTTGGCAAGCAAGGCATCCCCCAATATAGACCCTGAAACCGCTCAAATCAAGTAGTCTTACTGATGTTTTGAATAATACATAATTTCATGTTAATATAGAGAGCGGAAAATCTGAGACAGGTTTAACTTAAGTATATACTGGACAGCAAGAGAAATAAATTTTACAATGTGATTTTCTTATGTTCTAATTACCTACAGCACGTCAATAAAGAATCGCAGATTCAACTACAATTACAGCTTTTAAAATTTTCATGGAAGTCAGTAATTAGTAGATGTTGCTTAAGAAACATATTTCAGAAGAATTTGTTTCATGTCATTTATTTAATCAATTATAATAAAGCACACATGGGCTGTCTGCGTAATGAAAGAAATAACTTTGTGATAAACGTTTTAAAGAACCCTGACGAGTATTAATACAACGCATGAGAAAAAACAAGAAAATAGCCATTATCTTCTTTTATAATGTTATAACTTTTATTTCACCATTAATTTAGATTATCAGGATCCAACACAATCTCTTCTAAAGTGCTATTTTCATATTTCCCTATCATAATACGTTCAAATCAGTTTGATCTGTAAGTATAAAATTAAAGTTATTGGTGATGTTCTTGACTAGTTTCACAAGATATTACACAAAAAGTAACTCTGAAGCAAAGAACCATTTTTACTCTTATTACTTACTCTCTTAGCTGTCATCACATAATAACGAACATGTTGAGCGCTAGTTGAATTCTGTTGAGGTTAAGTATCATTTTTTTTCTAAGTTTCCTGCTTAGATTACAAAGTTTTCAAGTTTCTGAGTAGTTGACTTTTCATATGTAGTGGATTTAATAATCTAACAGAGTTCTGAGTATAACATTTATTCAGTCACCCTCGAAAAATAGCTTTTACACTGGTACATGTAAAGACATTTATAATACACAATGTTACAAATTATCACAAATTACAGCATCATTAAAACAGAAGACAAAGTTGTTTTATAGAATGCAGAAAACAGTAAGAATTTACTCCTATTTTCTCAAGAGCATTTGCTGTATATTTGTTTAAAAATGCATTGAATTATTCCGCTATGAAAAATACTCAATTAAAAAAGGCATTCATATGAATGCAAAAATTGTATTAATTCATTAGCCTTTTTTTAAAAAAATATTTTCATTTCCTCTTTAAATGTCGACACTTCAAAAATGTTAATATAATGATAAAAGCTCTCTGTGTTTTAGAACAACACGTTAATTTCTGACAATGATCAAAAACTATTAAAATTATAAGGTATTTCTCCCACTTTCCTAGCATGCCTTCGTGGTGTAACGGTAGCACGCTGGGCCGGTATTCCAGAGGTCCGTGGTTCGATTCCCGGTGAAGGCGGTTGCATATTTTTCATGTTTTCTACTTCCAATTAACCTAATGACTCTACAAGTGTCGCCCGAACTAAAAGGGTTGTGGATGATGATTCTCCGCACCCAGGATTTGGCGACTAGGTCCCCTAAAACCCTAGTCGCCCTTTAAAAAGGGGAGTATATAAGGTATTTCTCCCACTTTCCTAGCGTGCCTTCGTGGTGTAACGGTAGCACGCTGGGCCGGTATTCCAGAGGCCCGTGGTTCGATTCCCGGCGAAGGCGGTTGCATATTTTTCATCTTTTCTGCTTCCAATTAACCTAATGACTCTACAAAATAACTTACTATCTTCCGATAAATTAATTATCGCCTTAGTGAATCAGCTCATCTAACAAGCGAGAGATCTAATGCTCACGTGTAATTTGTAACTAAACTTTTTTGTCATACTTTCGTTCAACTCGAAACCGTACTGTGTTAGCATTCCTCTTCTAAACCTGGTTTTCCTAATACTTCACTATGATAGAATTTCCGTGTAGAGTCATAAGGTTTATCGAAGCATGAGACACGAGAAATATGCATTGCCTTCGTCGGAACTCGAACTTACCAACTAGACCACGGAGGCACGCGGCAAGGAGGAATAAAAATCTTGCATCCTTAGAAAAGTCTTCTATGAAAATTACTTATCTTTTAAGACAAGTAAGAAAGGGTAGTATTGGATATGATTATTTAATAAAAGTGAAATGCATGAGGGATATCATCCTATGCCCCATTCTAATTTTAAATTGAGTATACTCTTTGATATCCTACCATAAATAAAAGTTCATCCGGGAGCTAATGACATCAAAATATTTTAGATAAAGTAATGGTAATTACTGAAGACCAAGTAATGTCAAAAGCCAATGACAGTAAAATCAGCCAACAGCAAAATCAGATCATATAACTCTAAACAAACCATATAAAGGGGGAAGGTTCTTCAGGAAGCAATTTCCATAAGTACAGTTAAGGAAGTTAACTTCAGTTTATAACTCAAATCTAGAACATAAAAAAGTAAAATCAGTTTTTATTGAATCTTTACATAAATTCTATTCTCCGACTGCCAATCTTGGGTTGGCAAGAAAACTCTCCTTCTTCTGCACTTCTCTATAAGATGAAGAATTTCAGAAAGCAACTTGCATAACTTTGGATCTGCGAACATGGAAAATGCATCATTAGTTGCAGATGTAATATCAGAAGTGGAAACATTTTCTTCCGTTGATCTTCGTTATACTTAGATGTTTCAGTCTTTCCTTTTGCGTCATCAGCTGAAAGACTCTGAAGTTTATATTCAATATTCAGCCCAGAGTCTTCGTTGTTTTCTTACAAAATAAGCTCTTCTGAAGCTCCTGGGTTTGGGGAATTAAGAGTATCCACGATAGTTTGTATGATGGTTCAAATTACATCGCAAGCAGCAAGCTTTTTCATCATCGCGGGGTTCACGTGTGTAAATTAAGTATTCTTCACTGCACTTCAAACAACTCGCAGCATGGAAGCTCAATATGTGTCTGGGTCAAAGAGTAGCCGAACGGCGGTGTGCGCGAAAAAAAACGCTGTTATTTCCCTGGAAAACGCCTTTTATTTCCTTCACTGTTTCAAATCAATAATGTACTCCGCGATCAAAAAAAGAGAAATAATTTTTCATTTTGTGCGTTCTACCATCTTTTAAAAATGTTTCCATCTCTTTGAAACACCAGTACATATGGAAAGTTGATTTTTTGCTGATTGTCACTATTAGAAAGCCTAAAAATGTTAGGGACACCTTATAGTGATAAGGTTTCTCTGTTTCCTGCATGTAATATTGATATTTTTTTTTTCTTTCCCAGACTTCGGATGCAGCACAGCAAAAGATATCAAAGTTGAATTCCAGCATGAAGGTAAGAAATACCAGATAAGATTTGCTTGTGCATCTGTAATCAGAATTTTACTTCTGTTTCGACCTCAATTTTGAATTTTCTTAAAATGTAAAGCACATTAAATTCTGAGACATGGTACCTTTTTTCATAAATGCAGTTATCCAAATCTTCTATATTATGAAAAAAAAATATTATGAAGCATGGCATTTAGTATTGTGAAGAACTGACATAAAGCCTGCCACATAAAAGCAAGGGTGAACAGACTTCATATCAATAGGAGGCACATTATAGAATTCAGATATTTAAATCGCTTTAAGTGTAATAAAAAGATTGGTAATAAAAATAAATGTTTCAAGCACACTAAAGAAGAGCTCCGTAATTTTAATTCATTTTTTATTAATAACTAAAATTTAGCAACCATTTTTGCTACTGCTATGTATACTGAGAAGTACTGTGTTCCTATAACATGACTATTTTTAATTTTTCTGCGATATATTCCGCAAGTTATGTCCGAATGATAACATCGGATGCTACAAAATGCATTTATCTATCTACAATTTTGAATTCCCGCCCTGTTCATTGATGTAGACTGCCGGGATACTACAAGATGCATGGAGAATGGCAAATGAGTTTGAAAGGATGATACCGACACCATTGTTGCGGCCAAATGGTTTTTTCTTCAAACTTTACTCCTATCGACACTGAACAACCTCATTATTCCTATGGGACAAAACCATTTCTCTTAGGTCTATAATACGAGCAACCTCGGAACGAAGATGTAACGCTACAGGTTACATCTCAAGCACATCTTTTCAGACAGTTTGCAGTATCAAAGCAGAAAGTTCAATTTAAAATTGGCGCTTAATGAGAATACGGTACTTCTAATATTGCGCTATGCGATATTCTCATGCAATTTTAACGAACCTTATAACATAATTGGAGTTCAAATTCTAATCCTTTTTCCAACTCCTCAAGGACATTAGAATACAGAGTTTATCAGTGTAGCTCAGTTTTCTTTGCATGCGTATTAAATGTATGCAGGTAGATTTTAATAGAAGGTGTATTCTCAGTGTCATTCGGAAAAATTCTATTATATACTCTCAATGTAGTTTAAAAATTTAAGTTGCTGATTTCTGAAACATATGTGACATATCCCAACGATATCTGCTTCAGACTGTGATTGTATTTAAAAAAATATTACCGCTGGTTAAGCAACCCACCATGCGGTTCATAAAGGTACATACCTGCTAAAATGAATGGATCTGAAATTATCCCATTTTGTTCCATTTATTATTTTAGCTTCCTTTAAAGTAGCATGAAATGCCACACAAGAAATAATTTAACACATTTTCTGCAGAACTTCAAAAAACGTAACAAATAAATATTGAATTTAACTTTTTTTTCCAGAATATTAACTTGAGAAATGATTTAAATTAATATTTTTCTTGAAACAAAAGTTATCAGCATTAACTTTTTAATTTAAAAAGGTTTCCGTCCAAGTCTTAAAAATTTTAAGGGTTCATTACCTTTAAGCTTCAGACCACGGGCATGCAATTGTGTTCGATAAATCCGAAAACAAGTATTATTTCCTTAAATATTGATCTTAGACCAGCGGTTCTCAACCTTTTTTGCCTTATGTCTAAATTTTAATCATTACTAGAAGATTATTTTCCCCTTCCTTTCCCAAACGTGAAAATTATACACTGTATGCATTTGTTCAGATTTAGATTCTTTTTAGCGTGTTTTATAAATTAAAAAACAAAAAGTATAAAAAATATTGGTAAATGCCAAAACTTCAATAAATGTAGTTTTTCATATTTATGTACTAAAAGTAAATACGTAACAGCTAAATAAAAGGCTGAACGTATTCCCTCCTGAAACTGTGATTTCTCTGGTTGAGAACCACTGTCCTAAACATATATTTCCAATTGTAAAATTTCTCAAAAGGAGGTAAAATATTTTACAAAACCAGGTTCATCATTAGAAAAGCGGGATGAGAGAATTTTTAAAATATAATATCTAACATTTTATACAGTGTTCATATATAAAAACGTACGTAAAACGCAATAGTATTTACACTCTTTAATGTTACAAAGTTGTAACATATTTTTTGTTACAATTATAAAGAAATTTCCCTTTCAAAGACATATAGTTTAAAAAGACTTTTGTTTGTGCGTTCTGAATATGCACCTTTTGGATAGTAATGAAACCCCTATAATTCATACGTGAAAAGGCAAATATTGTGTTTTAAGAAAGCATGATATCATGCTATCTGATGCTTATTTTTCGTTGGAAAATATTTGTCACAATTTGATGTAACATCCCTCCAGGTTGGTTCAATTCTTCGACAGGATGTCTCCTCTTATTTTCTTACTTACCTTATAAACATTGCTATTTTTACAGTTACTTAAATAAAGATAATAAAAGTTTTGTAACAAGAAGCTGTCAAATTATATTCAATAAAATTAAATCAATTTTAAACAGGGCACTGCTTTGCGTCTGTAATATTATGTCATTTTAGCAATAATATTGCTGATAAGAAAAAGAAGAATGCGTAATTTTTTAACCAAATAAATGAAGTTATCAAAGTTTTTCAGAATTAAGTAAAAGCAACGAAATTTGTCAAGTTTATTATTTATAAAAACCCAAAATTTAAATTAAACTTACCTTTCTTCCCATTTTCAAAATTCTCCTGGTGGAGGAAATAAGATGAAACAGCTTTAAACTAGTAATTTAAGCAGTTATTTGATTAAATTTTCCGCAGGGATTATCATGTACAGTTCATGACAGTCCCCTACATTCAAGGGCTCCGTACACCTGATAATCGGGCGTACATATTCCTGCCATAGTATGACGCTATTAGTATTTCATTCACCAGTGTTTCAGAGAGGTTCGAACTTGTTTCGGATCTTTTTGCCATTTTTATTTGGTCAGTCTGTTATCTGAAACTGTGCGTTTATATATAACTTTCTCTCTTTCTGTTTACTTATTTAGAATCTTTTCAAAATATTATAAGATATTGATAAAGGAATAAAACAGAAATATTGGATTTTAAGAGATCACCAGAAACTAAATGCTACGAATTCAACCTATGATTATAATAATGATACTTTTACTAAATATTTTTCATGGAAAGACCCAGTTATAACGCAAATATTGAAGAATTGAAAGTTTGGAAAAGAAAAATATTCTTCAGTTTCCAGAGAGTTAATTTTAAATGCGTACTAAAGCTAATTCCTTTTTGCACACAAAACGAAAGGAATCGCCTTAGAGCTGGCTTATGAAATCTAAATAGAGAAACAAAAATATAGACTTTGTCGTCATTGAAGCCCTAAGAAAGCCTTCAGTAAATTTCACCTCAGTGTTCATCTTTGAAAAGCACATTTTTCATTCATTCGTTGTAGTATAATAAAGTGTAAGCTAACATTTCAATGATCTGAACTTTTTCTCCACTAGAGGAAATTTTAGTTTATAGTCAAAACCATTTTATGGCAGTACTTTTCAAACGTCTTAGCCTTATGACATGCATGCATATAGCTGCAATTTATTATGACTCGTATGCATAAAATCGCTCTGAAATAAAGGTAAAGAAACAAAGGTCCCTAGAATAAAATATTTAATAATGAAGTAATAGTAAATAAACACATGTAATTACATGGTTTGCAAAAAAATTTCAAAGTACCAGGAAGGAAGGGGTTGTCTTTGATGAAATTGAATATGTGTATATCTCATACACAGATAATAAAATGATTGAAAAATCAAGGTCATAGTACCTGTTCATAGCTCACAATTACCCATTGAGTGTCCAAATTATTAGTCGGTCGAACCGCCTCTGACGATAATACATGCTTGAATTCGTCGAGGCAAGAAGTGGTACAGGTTCCTAATGTCATTCTGCGACACATTCTGCCAGGCATTCATCAGCTGTCGCTCCAGATCTGCGATATTTTGTGGTGCCCGAATCTGGCAGCCTACCATGCCTCAGACATGTTCGATTGGTGAAAAGTCTGGTGACCTTGCTGGCCAAGGAAGATTATCAACCGCACGGTATATGCGAGTATATGCGTGCGATTATCAACCGCACGGTATATGCGAGTATATGCGTGCGATTATCAACCGCACGGTATGTACCAGAGATATGCGAGCGGTATGTGGCCTGGCATTATCTTGTTGGAAAATGGCCCCAAGATGGCGTTCCATGAAGGGTAATTCAGGATGGTATCAACATATCGTTGAGCTTTTAAAGATGTACGGAGGATAACTAAAGATGACCTGCTGTCTAAGAAATAGAGCCCCACACCATCACACCAAGGGTTATGGCCGTATGCCTTTGTAAAACCGAGGCTGATTGGCACCGCAGGCCTCGTCCTCTCCAGACACGAATACGGTGGTCATCTGCTTCAAGAATGAAGCGGGATTCATCGCTGAACACTATACGATGCCAGTCTGATGGCAACCATGATGATCGACTGCGACACCATTCCAGACGAATCCGTCGATATTGTAGGGTCAAAGGTAAACGTCTTCAAGGCCTCTGTGAACGTAAGCCGGCCTCAGACAAGCGCCGTGAGATGGTGGATGGTACCACGGAAGGTATAGACGTGGCTGTAGTGCGTTGAATAGTCCATAATGGTACCGTTCGGACTGTTCGGGCCTGGCGAACATTCATCCTATCTTGCCAGGCATTTGTGATCCTTGACCTTCCACAGCCTTCATTTTGTCGGCCATTTCCTTGTAGCAACCACTGCTGCCAACATCTTTGCACAGCAGTGTCTGTACGCTGCAGGTGGCGGCCTATTGGTCATTATGACCCAGCTTTACGCAACCCTACAATGCGACCACGTTCGAAGTCGTTTAGTTGTCTGTAAGGTCTTCGATATCGTCGTAATGACATCTTTAGTTGCTTCTTTACGGAATTACAATGGCAGCAACCAAAAAAGGATAAATTTTCCGTCTCTGTTACTGGTTTTATACTTTACGAATTGCGAACTAGAAATGCGCGCTATAATCGCAATTCCTGTTCATTTGCCTTTAATCATTTGAATGTTCGATCAAGAAGTTTTTGCAGACCAAATTTCGTCACGATCGCAAAAGTCATTCTTGGTGCTTCGATTTTTTTGCAAAAGAGTGTATATAATAAATAAGCATTATTAATTACATAACAAAAGAGTATTCCAAAACTACTCAGGAAAAATTCTTTACCAATCCACTGTCGATCTAAACCTATACTTTTTTTTTTACTTTTCTTTTAGACATTTTGAATTGTTTGTAAAAAATTATAAAATAACTGAAATAATGTGTTGCTAGAAAACGCCACGAAGTCTTAAAATAGGTTAGTTTCTTTTTCATATTTGCATGTTTCAGCATGAGCACTTTTAAGGTGTGCATTATCATTAGTGAGATTTTTAATGTTTTAAGAGATTTCAATTTCCAATTTTACTTTAATTTCAGGTATATCTTGCAGTGCAGCAAGTTTTGTGTCCGTGTCGGCTCTAACGTTTTTGTTTGCAGCCTTTATCTTTTTCGTGCACAGATATTAAATACAGAAGTCATCTCCAAGGATGCATTTGCAGGAAGTGGAAAAGAAGTGTAGAACTTTTTGTCACGGAAACTTCAAATATGTTAAGAAAATGTTCATATTTTTATGTTTGAATATCTTCTCATTTGTAAAGTTTAAGCTTATTCAGATGGATTCTTCAATTTTTGTATAAGTCGTATAGCAATAAATTTTTGTGGTTTTTTAATGTCATTTTACTTCCTAAAAATATAACAGCGAAATTTTAAAATCCAAATGCAAATCCTTGATTCGCAATACTACCAAATAATACAATTGGAAATCGAAAATAATCTTCTAACTCTTTTAAATGTTTCATCAGTTCTCAAAGAAAGTTTAGACTCCAGAAGATACAGGTTAAATGTATTTAATAAATTAAACTTTAATTTAGAATTAATAGGCTAGGAGAAATTGGTTTTGAAAGAACTTCATTTGAATGCCCACACTACTCTAAAGCTGATAGAGGCCATAAAATCTTTGCCATTAATGCAAGTGCAGCCAATGCCAGCAATTAAGAATTAATGCATTATTAATTTCTGACTTATATTAATAGACTTATATTAATCTATTTCAAAGCAACAAATTACCAAAAACTTTAAAATATGAAATTATTAAAAATACAACTTATGAATTCAGATGCAAGTCACTAAATAATTTACTTATAGAATGCAGTGAAACCTGTCATGGCGACCACCTTAAAAAATTATCAGTATTTCTAAGAATATAAACAAGCATCGCTACTGATAATTATAATCTTCTTCTCTAAGACGACCACTCCGTAACTCGACCAAGATATTTGTTCTCGACTGCCAAAACGTCTTAATTTCGTTATCACCAAAGTACTCCTAAGTACTATACAAATTAAGAAAAGCATTTGCAACAAGAAAAACTTTTTTTTTATTGAAACTGTTTCGATAATTGGCCAAAATATTCTTTTTCTGTATACAGCTTTAGCTAAAGATAGATCCTCTTTTACGCAAGTTAAAGAGGTGATGTGATAAAATTAAATATTCTAGCAAAGGATGATATCACTATTCAAACTTATTTAAAATCTGAAGTGTTAGACTGGAAACCTTTTGTGACCCTCCTAACAATGTTTTTTAATAAATGAATGTAGATTTGAGGGAGGTTTATAAAAGCATCATTTCAAACGAAGCTCGAAATGTAATTGCTCAAATGTTTTTGCTTTTGGATACAGATTTAGCTAAGGATAAATCATTTTTTACAGATGCTAATAGAGGTGATGTATTAAGATTAAAAATTTAGCCAAAGAAAGGATTTAGCATTCATTCTTTCGAAACTGAAGGGAGAGGTTATGGGTGGATGTCATTTGGAATGAGGTTACTAAAAATAGTGTTTTAAGTGAAGATTTTATTAGAAAGTTTGAAAATATTGTCAATTGGGATTTGATTTCTAGATATAAAACATTATGTATCTTTTATCAGTGAATATAAAGATAGAGTACACTGGGATAATATTTTAAGATATCAAAAATTTTACAAAATTTTTTAAAAAGTTAAATACTAAATTACATTCTAGATATCGGAAGTTATCGGAAAATACTACTGAAGAATTGAAAGAGGTAATATATTGGTATAAAATAATTAAATATCAAGATTTGAGTGAAAACATTTTTAAATAAATATGAAGATAAAGTATACTGGTGTAATCCAAACTTATATAAACAAGTATCGGAAAATTTCCTTAAAATACATTATACAAGAATTAATATTAAATTATTAGCTCACATATGTGCGAACGATAAAAAATAATTAATTAAAACATTTTTTTCCTAATAAATGGAACTAACAGACACAGTCAAAAATTTACTTGAAAATACAATATTGAATATTTATTTACAAACGAAAGTTCTAGATTTATAGACAATAAAAATTTTAGCGAAGATGATTCCTTATTATTTGAAAATGAATTTAATAAAATTAAAGGTTTTGATGGAAGGCAATACAATTTAGTAGATGATAATCACATTGTGAATCTGTTTCTTGGTGTAACCTACATGTAGCAATTATAAAATTATGTTTAAGTTCTCGTTTTATAGATAATTTCTTATACTGTTGAAGGAAGCGTCTAAAATAAAAAATATTTAGAAGTACAATTCTAAGGACTAGTATTTTCATCCAAAATAAATGAGTATCAGATCATACCAAGAAATTCAGAAATTAAAAGATAATACATTGTAAATATCCCTTGATAACATTGAAAAAAATGACAGCAAAATATATGATACAATCTTAGCAAAATTAGACGTTAATGGTATAGAGCAGACAGGGTTAAACTGCGGCTCTCCGACATCGTAACTGCGCGAGCTACTTACGATTCTTCGAAACCTGAAATGCGATTTGTTTTGAATAAATATAGTTTAATTTTTTGATACAAATGGAATTTGAAATAGAAATCATGCAGTGCCACGTTTCTTTATTAATCGCTAATTTAATTTCTGATATTACGAATATAAAAATTTAATAGATTTCAAACCGTGCACTGCTGGCTTATCGTCAGAGCAACAAATACGTAAAATTACAAATAATTCCATTTCTAATACTCCAATTATGTTACTTTTTGAACAGGTAATGGTCATAGGAATACGAAGTTAATCTAAAACGTAATGCTATAGTTAATCTAAAACTAGCTAATAGTTAATAGTTAATCTAAAACGCAATATTTTTACTTAGTTGTTCTCCCCAATACTTTTTCTCTCAGGTTAATTTTACTACAGGCAGTATCTGCTTACATTCCTATGTGACCCCATTGTTCACAAAAGTTTGGATCCACCTGGAAGATTTGCTTTTCCATGTAGGGTACTACTTTTATCCAGTCCTTGAATGGCGTGAGTAACTGCTGAAGAAACCTGTTTTGCCTTGCAATCCATATAAAGGTCTTTTTTAATCTGTGGAAGAATTTTACAAGGATTTTATTTTTGGTGAAGAGAACCTTCAGCCTCTTACTTGGTAAGGAGACTTGTCGCAATTTTCTTCGGAACTCCATCAAAATTAACTTTCTATCGCTAAGCAAGTCAGGCATTTTCATGCAGATGCTTCACAGATTTCGAAACCATTCACAATAATGTGCTTAATGAACACTTTTTCCACATTAAATTCTATCTTTCCTAATAATTCCTTGATAATCCTAGGCAGAGATCATAACTTATTTTACCAATGGTTGTGCATGCTGAAATATTTGGAGTCGTGGGATGAATCACTGTTTTGACAACCATTTAAATTTTAGACAAAATATTTAATTCCCTTTTTTATCAAACATTGTTATTCCAGGTAGAGATCTTTCACCTTAGTCATCAAATTTTCATATCAGTAACGTTGCATCAAGCAAGGAGGAATCAACAGAACACAAACGTCTCTCTTCTCCAGCATTTCTATCCAAATGTCCAAATCGGCATATTTATAGTGGTGAAATCTCTTTAGCTTGTGATATTTTCTCGTATTTTTTGATTTCTTGTTTGTCGATCTTCTTTCTTTCTACTTCGTACTAGCTTAGAGGCATTTTGCTGCACTGGATTAGAGGCACTAGGTTAGAGTCGCAGGTAAATATCACACTAGGTTAAAGGCATTTTGCCGCCCGGCATATCTAAAATTTTTCATTCCTTAGCACTGCCGCTCTGCAGCTGCACCAGTTGGCCCAGCTCTGATGCCAGCACTACATTTCTTTTAATCTGTTGATATTTTTTGTTTTCCTAGTTTTCGATAATCATGTACGTCTGACACGTCCTTCGTGAAATCTTAGTAGCCAAACGAAAGGTTGTACAATGATCCACTGCTTGATCACTACAGATTTCAGGCAATAATGTGAAATTTTGCTCCCGTAAACTTTTAAAGTCTGATCTTTTATTCTCTGAAGTATCCTCTGCCTACAGACTCACTTCCAAACTCCATTCGAGATTTATTTTCTGTATACAGGTTAGGTAGCACAAAGGAAAGTTGTATTATGTAACACGCTGACAATAATTTATTTTAAATTTTTTTCTGAGTTATTTTACTTAGAAATTCAAGATGAGAAGATAAGCCATTTGACCGCCTTTATGGGTCCAATAGTTAGAATATGGTGGATCTGTATACCTATTCGGCAAGAGATTAGGAACTAAACTATTGTGCAGACGTCTGCCATGTTACAAAAGGCCTCCGCATCGAACATCTGTTCATGTTCATAGAAATATGAAGAGCTACGCGTTCATGCTATATCTGAATTTGCGAAATAAATTCATTATAGTAATGGCAGGTATGTTTTCTTTTTGTAACATTAGTTTGGATTTGCCATGTATTTGAAAATATGCTCAAAATTGCATATTGCTAGGTTGAAGAGTTCGTCTGGTAAACAGATGGAATATGTGCTGGACGAAGCGTTTATATAGTCCGGCATGAACTACTAGATTTATTAGCAATAGATTACGCATGTTCAGAATCATCGCAAAGATTCAAGAGGTGGTTTCGAAAATTTTCAATGATGCGCATGAATTTCATTATCTTTATCCAAAGTTATCGGGAGGATTCGAGACATAGTTTCGACAATTTTCAATGATGTGAAGTGTACTGATTCTAAAACATTCTAGCAGATTCCGTTGGATGACACGCTTAAATACTGTATCAGTTAGGGCCGTCATACTGAATATTCAAATGCCACTGAAATTGCAATCATATTTTTTTATGAATTCTTCTATACTCGACATCAGTAAAAGTAGTTATTCCAATGTTTTGGGGAAAAAAAACGTTTAAATGTTTCTTAGGTTAGGATCCAAAGATTCGAATGATTTCAGTATGTTGGTTAATTGTATGGAGAAACAAAATTACTTTTTAAGCAGAAACCTAAACAGTTTAATAGCTTTTAAATAAATAGTCTTTCTTGAATAACAGTTTCTCTGTAGTATGCGTTGACGTGTACCATTTAATTTATCCTTCTTAAAAGACTGCTAATGAGTTTAAAAAAAAAGAAAAAAACACTCAGTTTTTCTTTTAAATCAGGATTTGTAATTTACTGAAATAACACTTTTTACGCAATTGTAGACCAATGACTATGCTTCCGATTCTTAATTAGTAATATAAGAATCGGAAGCATGTTCATTGATCTACAATTACGTAAAAAGTGTTATTTAATTATTAATTTAAGAATCGGAAAAGTACTTCGACTTAGTACTAAATTACTTGTAATAAAATAAAACAA